AAGTGAGTCAGGGTCACTCCTTTTCCTGTCCCTTCTGCCAGGCCTCCCTTCTCCAAGTCTCTCCAGCCCCTCTAATGCTTTCTGTCGGACTGTGTTCTCTGGCAACTGCTGCCGATCTCCCACACCACACACTTTTGATGATGCCCTCTGGATTCCTGGCAGTTTTAAACTGTGCTGAGCTGAGTCCTGCCCTTGGAGGCAGCTAAGACATTTCCAACCAGGCAGACTCTGTCCTCCTAAACGCCTTTTATTGCCAGTCCCGAGATTATTCATGATTGTCTTCAGTAACCGCTGGTGCCCAGAGCCAGGAAGAGCCTGTACTTGGAGACCTTTGCAAATGCATTGAGGGCAGAAGGGGCTGTGCTGTTGAGCATCCAGGCAACAGTACCGTGCATGCACATGATTCTTGTGTATGAGCTCAGAGGCCCTTTTTTAAAAAAAAAAAAAATTTATAAAGTAGTTCAAAATTGCTCCAGCCCCTCTCAGAGAGCCCGGCAAGCTCCTCGTGAAGTATTCAATATGCCAAAAACAGTAACAACAAGTCTCACAATTTCTTGTGAGACGTTACTGGTGGCCGCTTAAGCAAATCAATAAACAACGGGAGGACAGTGCTACAGTGCAGTGCTACACACACACACATATATATTTATGTATGTATGTGTATAAAATATATTTCCCTCTAAGATTGGTTGCCTCCTACTTTAAACCCCATCAAATGTGGTGTGGTACTCTTGGAGTATGGGTAGTGTGAGGCATAAGTTGTTGCCCAGCATGTGGAGAGCAGCCGTGAACATGGTGACGGTTGAGTTCTTGAGGTTTTTGTCCTCCGGGGCTGGGTCTCTTGGGTCGGGGCAGGGCCTCACCACCCCAATCCGGGGAGCCCTGAATGAAACAGCCTGGCACCAGGTCCAGTGGCATGGTAATGGCGTGTGTGGTGTTATGCTCCTATCCAGGAGAGGACAGTGATACTGGATCATGGCTGATGATGAAATTATCTGGCGCCAGCCAGAGGTGGCTTATGGGTGTGACTGCAAAGTTGCTAGAAATGGGGGGGGAAGGGAGGAAACAGAGGATACTTGTTCCTGGGTCCGTTGAACCCAGAGTTTTCAGTCACAAACTCCCACATACCTGGGTTTTCTGCGGATTCACTCAAACGACCCTTTGTTTAAAGGGAACCCATCAGGGCAAGAGTGACAGTACAAGAGGGAGGGCTCTTGACTTGCTCTTGGCCCACCCACGTTCCATCCCCAGCACCCCAATGGTTCCTAGAGCCCCACCAAGAGTGGAAACCAGGAGAAAGCCCTAAGCACCACTGAGTGTGGCCCCAAAACAAAGAGTTTTAAAACTAAAAAAATGACCAAGCATTTGAAATAGAAGGAAGACAAGCATGCCCTTCCTGGCCCCGGAGCTGTCCGTGGTACTGAAAGTGGACCCGGTTCTGGTTCTGGCAGAGTACTATAGCACCTACTTTGAGACCGCTCTCAAGTGTCATCAGTTCTTTGTTGGGTTTGGTTTTTTGTTTTCATTTGTTTTTCATCTGGCAATGCTCAGAGCTTACTCCTGACTCTGAGCTCAGGGATCGAACCAGGGTTAGCTGCATGCCAGGTAAGCACCCTCCCCACTGTCCTCTTTGACCCCAATCTGACCTTTGTTAATTGAATGGTCTGCTTCTGAGCACACGTTTGACTTTGCATTTTGGCTTTTGTTTTGTCAAAGGTTGCAAAGCTCCCTCAGGTTGTCCAGCAGCCGAGCCCTGTGGCCAGCATCCAACAGGTGGCCTCTGCCTCACAGCAGGTAGGGCGCGGGGTGGCACAGTGCCTGGCTTTGCAGTCAACTGCAGGGCTCTTGCTAAACGAGTCCTGGGTGGGCGCCCAAGGAGGTGGAACCCGACTCTTACAAGCCCCCCTTGGGACATACCTGTTGTCTGTAGCCTAGTAGAGCTGGGGTAAAAGTGTCCTGACTCTGGCGCCTGCCCTGCAGGAGCCTGGCTATGTGTGTTTCTGGGCAGGCAGCTGAAGGCTCCAATTTATCTGCCAAGTCCCCTTAGTTTCAGGGACTCTGAAGAGGGGAGGGGAGGGAGCTGCTACCTGTGGGAAACGGGGGAAGGCAGGAAGCAGGCTGGGGGTGGGGGGGCGCTATTGTTGCCCGCCCTGCAGAGACACCCAAGTGGCCTAGAACATGCTTTGTCTTTGTGGCACTGCCTGGACCTGGGACCTCACCCAGGCAAGATTTGTGCCCTACCACAAGGCTTTCACCCTGGCCCCATAAAACTTTTACTCAGTTCAAAGCAGGTGGATTTCAAGGAACCAGAACGTATCCGGTAATAGCCCCACCAGTCCCTGCTATGTCACACAGGCTTTGTCCCTAGAGCCCATTCCCAGCTAGAGTGGAGGCCAAGAGGTTTCTCAGCCCACAGAAGCCTTTGTGCCGACAGGCCCTCCCTGTAGCCCTCACATCTGAGCGGCCACGCCACTTCTCTCAGTGATGGCTGTTCTCTGACTCTCTGGGTTCAGGCTTCCCCGCAGACTGTGACACTCACGCAGGCGACAGCAGCCGGCCAGCAGGTACAGGTGATCCCCGCGGTGACGGCCACTGCACAGGTGGTCCAGCAGAAGCTCATGCAGCAGCAAGTTGTCACAACAGCAGCAGCCCAGCTCCAAAGCCCTGGGGTCCCTGCCCCCACACCAGTGCCAGCCCCCTCCGACAGCCCCAGCCAGCAGCCTAAGTTGCAGATGAGAGTGCCCGCTGTCAGACTCAAGACCCCCACCAAGCCTCCGTGCCCATAGGCAGTGCAGCATGCTGGGGCCCTTGTGCCGTCCAGCAGCTGGTCAGCATGAGGGGCCACGACGTGGGAGAGTTGTGGGGTGCCTGGGACTGAGAGCCATCTCCTTTCAAAGCACCTCCACGGGGGAACAGCTGCCCTGTGAACACCGTCTCCATGCTGGCAGCGCTCCCACCCCGCGACCTTTCCAAAGCAGCAGTGTGGCCTCGTGAAAGCCACTTAAGATGGCCTGTGTCACTGCTGCAGACCCTGGAAGGGCCCTGACCCAGACAGCTGGCGCTGGGTACCTGGCAGCAGCTGCTCTGTGGGCCCTACCTCATCACTGGGGAGCACCCTGTCCCGGAGGGAGGACTTCTTCCAGGAAATCACTCCAGTGGGAAAACCACCGTGGCTTTCCTTGCCTGCCTGCAACGTCATTTATCTCAACTCTTAAATGAAATTTTAGTGACACCCAATGAACCTCCTGTTCCCAGCTTATGTTGAGGGGAAACTGATTTTTTTCATTCCAAAGAGTAGCTGGGGCCCAGGACACCTTGGGAGCTCCCACGCGAGGCCCCAGCATCGCACCAAGCACAGAGAGCTGCAGCAGCACAGGCGCCACAAAACATTCAGCCTCCCAGATCCTCGCTAGCTTCCCTGCCTGGGGCTGCTGGTTCAGGCTGGTTTGGGGCCACTTGTGTTTCTGCCCAGTGCACGATGAGGGCACAGAGAGCAGTGCTGAGCTGACATGCTGTTTCCTGCCAGTTGCTGTGTTGCCACCCTCCCAGGTAGTACTAGCAGAAACAGGCACAGACCAGTACCAGCACAGCTGTGCATCTGGCTTCTTGTGGCCTTGATCAAGCCAAAACGCATGTGTTTGGAACCGGTCTAGGAATAAACTTGGGTACCGTCAGGGGAGGAAGCTCTGTCTGCTCCTGTTGTTCAGATTGACGTTGCTACAGTGGACTCGAAAGTTATCCCCTGGTACCTTGGACCATCACCTGGCAGAAAGGAGCACCTCCTTCCCCACAGTTTGCAGGAGGAAAGCTACCAAAAGGGAGTTTACTGCTGTCCTGCTGGTGAGGAATCTGGAGAAAAAGCTAGTATGAGGGCTTGAAGATGGACATATTAGCATTGCTTGGGAGGCCTGTGCAGGGTCAGGATTCACACAAGACCTGTGTCAGGACCCCAGAGCTATCCCATGGCCCTTCTGAACGTGTCTTTGAGAACACCTTAAAGGCGTGCAAGACAAGGCCCATGACCCTGTGGGGCTGGACGCACTTTAGAAACATCCCTGGTGCTTCCAGGGAGCAGAACTGGGCATCTGGATCTTAGCACACAGCTCCTGCCCACGAAAGAACCTTGTCTCAGCCATGCTGCTTAGTCCCTGTTGAAACACAGAAGAGGAAGGATTTCCTGTGTCGTTCTTGGTGACATGTCCTCAGCAGAGCCCTCTCCATCCACACCCTCCTCCTGCCATGTCTAAGTTTGTGGTCACTGTACCTCCTGTGCAGCTCCGGTGGTTTGTCAGGATGAAAGGCAGGTTGAGAGCATCATAAAGGTGACATTCTACAGTCTGACTTGGCCTGGCCACTATGAAGTGGACTGCACGACTGAGAGGCATGTTCTCAAGCAGCCAGGTTGCCACACCTCTTCCCCCACTTTAGTGTTTTTGTTTTCTTGTTGTAAGCAGCTGTTGTGTTTTAAAGTATAGAGGAACCAGACTAAATTGTAAATACTTTGTAAACAATCATTCATTTGTACTTGAATAGTAAAGTTTTGAAGCGCACTGATAGCCTACCAGCCAAAAGGTGTAATAAAACAACCTTTTTGTAGAATCGCTGATTCTGTCTTCCATAAAAATTAGCGTTCAAGTTATGGGTATTGGTTGTACTTATTTTGTGTGAAGAAACAAAAGGGGATGTCGGTGTGGAAAACAGGTTCATTCCCCGGACCTGCAAGGAACTAGAGGGCAATGCATTTCAGTTTCTGTTAGGAGGCCAGGTGGACCTGAGCAAGTTCTCCTGAGCATACAAGCTTCCCCAGTGACCAAGCAGCCAACACTATAGTGGCTACATCAGACCTATGGGTTTCAGAGGCAATTTACATAGCACAAAAGCTGTGCATGCACACACACACACACACACACACACACCCCAGCAAAACAGGGCCTCCTGGGGCCCTTGGCCACACACACACACAAGCAAGCAATGCCAATTGTTTTCACCACAGCCACTAAGATGATTAGATTTACTTTTATTGAAATGTTGCAAATACTGTGTATTTCAAGTTACCCAGGTGAGCCACCCAAAGAAGCTGAGCATGTAAAAGAAACGTGCTACAGAAGACTTGTAAGAGTTCAATTCAATCAGCCTAATAAGTGGCTGAAAAAATAGCAATACTCCTCCATTTAAAAAAAAAGAACAGGGCTAGAGTTAAAAGTACAGCACTTCAGGCACTTGTATGCAGCCAATCAGGTCAATCCCTGGCACTTTACAGGGTCACCCATGCCTCACCTGTGAATCCTCATGAGGGATCACTGGTTGTGGCCCCAAACCAAAAGGCCACTAATCAAGCAGTATATGAAGAAACTCGTGTTTTTCCTCCTACTGAAATTATGCCAGTGTCAGCTTAATTGCTGGGTTTTAGGGGTACACTGGGAAGTGCTCAGAAGTCATTCCTGGCAGTGTTGGGGATCAAGCCAGGGCATGCTGGATGCAGGGCAACCGCTTTAAGCCTATATGCTTCAGCCTCAAGCGAAGTTTTAAAAACCTATTGCCTGGACAGTGTTTTGTGTCTTTTAAAAAATGTCAGGCTGGGCTGGAGCAATAGCACAGCAGGTAGGGTGTTTGCCTTGCACGTGGCCGACCCAGGTTCAATTCCCAGCATCCCATATGGTCCCCTGAGAACCGCCAGGGGTAATTCCTGAGTGCATGAACCAGGAGTAACTCCTGTGCATCACCGGGTATGACCCAAAAAGCAAAACAAAAAAAAAGTCAGGCTGGGTAAGCATGGGGTTTAAGTACTTCCGGTTGGAGCTGCTTCAACCAGGGTGTGCCCCATCCCACCAGATGCATCCTGCTTGTTCTTGGAGCCACACTGGTGGAGCTGGGGCTACTCCTGGCTCTGTTCTTGGGCCCACAGATTGCTGGGGCACATAACCAGGGCTCAGCCCTTGGCACTCTGGCCCTAACCCATTCAACTAGGTTGTCTGCTAAGCCCATTTAAAAGCTCTTCCAACATCTCTTTTTCTTTTTTTTTGGGGGGGGGGAAATCACACCCAGTGTCAGGGCTGTGACCCAAGCCACCTGCCAGCCTACATGCTCATTCCCAACAGCCCCTCTAGCCCCGGGACACTGTTCCTCGTGAGACTAGTTTAAACATCTCATAAGGCCAAAGTAGTCTTACTGTCTTGGCACTTAAGGTCCTCAAGGCTGCTCCTGCAGCATCATGCTGTGCCCCCACGGAGCTACCTGCCCTGGACGCCCTGATCCCAGGGACGCGCTGCCCCAGGGCTTGCTTGCCTGTGTCTGCCATCTCCGCTTCCTGGCACCAACTCCACCTGTGCGACCATAGCCACGCTGCTGCCCCTACTAGCAGGTGTGGGGACTGCGCCCCTTTCTGCCACCCCAAGAACAGCAGTGGCAAGTTTACGGCCTGCTGGGGTGGGGAGCAGTCCCTCTTCCCGCTCGCTGCTCCACCACCTCCAGGGACACGCACATTCAGTATGGTATGCCCAGGCCCTGCTTCAAGGCTGCTCCCACTTCCATCCTCAGATCCCCTCACAGCAGTGCAGCCTAGGAAAATGACAGAGAACTGAGACCCTCTGGAGTGTGGAGGCTGACTTCACAGATGAGCTTAAAGTTATCCCCAAGTAGTAGCCAAAGCAGGACACCTCGTTGCCAGTTCAATTTTAACTCATCTCATTTCTAGAAAGACCACCCCAATGAGAGACTGAGGGGCCCGGAGCTAGGGACAAGCTCCTTTCCACTGGCGAGTCCCTCACGGCCTGCTCAGACACCAGCCAACGTTGCTTGGGGGGGCAGGACAGCAGGAGGAGGCTTCAGGATGCAGAGGGCCCTCGGCTGGCCCCCGAAGTCCTGCCTACACCGCCTTCTGGGCTCGCTCTTCCTGCAGGGGAGTGGGGAGAAACTCAGCTCCAGGTGGCCCCAAGGGCAGCGGCCCAGCCCCAGGACACGCAGCCCTCACCTTGACAGCCTGCTCCAGCTGCACCAGGGCCGCCTCATACTGTGGGACCAAGGACTGCATGTCGTCGTCCGGAGTCTCATGCCGCTGCAGCTCAGGCACTCCAGCCTCAGCCAACATCCGGAGGAACCTTCTCTCCTGCAGGAGCCCATGGTGGGAGGGAGCTCGGCTGCGGCCCCAGGGCCCTCCCCAAGCAGCACCCCCACCTCACCTGCACTCGGAGCAGCAGTGTGAACGCCTGACCCTTTCTGCCAGCGCGGGCTGTTCTCCCCACCCTGGAACCAAACAGAGTCTTCAGGAGCCTCTTTCCTCCCAGGGGCCCCCCCAACCCCTGGGCTAGCCCCTCACCGATGCACATAGGTCCGCAGGTACTGAGGGGCGTCATAGTTGACCACCATCTGCACCCCCTCCACGTCGATACCTCGAGCCGTGGCATCTGTGCTGATGAGTCTGGGGGCAGGGGGTCGACACCAGGGTTGTGGATCCTATCCTCCACCCTCAGTCCTGCCCCCAGCCCTGCACTTACAGCTGGATCTTGCCCTGCTCAAACTGCTTCAGGATGGCTCTCCTCTGGCCGGGCCCATAGCGAGAGGAGAACTCGGCCACCGTTACTCCCCCAAAGGCTTGGACAAGCAGGAAGAGCCTGGAGTACAAAGGGGTCAAGAGGCTCAGTGGATGGGGCCAGAGTGGGGACCGCCCCTTCCTGTGCAAGTTCTCATGAGAGTTGGTGGAGGGCCCTCACCTGTGCGAGTTCTCACGAGAGTTCGTGAAGCAGAGCACCCTAGAGAGGTTCTGGCCCTGAAGCATGGCCAGCAGGGTCAGCGGCTTGGTGCGCAGCCTGCAGGGTACATAATGGTGCTGGAGGAATGGGGTTGGCCATCAGTTCACACCCCCACAGTCCCCCCCCCCCCACACCAGAGGTACCCTCACCGTCAGGCCAGCGGGGAAGGCATACTTGCCCCCACAGTCCCCATCCACATCGAGGTCTTCGGGACCACTGGGTGCCAGCCCCGCAGAGAAGAGCCGAGGCTGGTAGAGGCCGAGCTGCTGCAGCTTCTCAGGGTTCTGGGTTAGAGTGGCTGAGAAGAGCAGCTTCTGCAGCGGCATATGAGGTTGGCAGGTGCTGGAACGGGTAGGAGAGCAGTTAGGGGTGAAGCATGGGGAGGGGGCAGAGGAGGAAGCCAGAGGAGGAGCCTGTACCTGGCGGCAGTCACGGCCTGGGGCTGCCTGCGCTGGAGCAGACCCAATGTGTCCTCGGAGCCCCCACTCGGGAAGGCTGCTGCCACCACCCGGGGCAGCCAGGACTGGTGCATACTGTCCATCATCCGGTCTGCTTCATCGATGACCTGGGGAAGCCAGGAGTTGGGAGGCCAGTTGTAGGAGAGAGGCAGAGGCCCAGGCCCAGGCCCAGGCCCAGCCCCACACCCATGGGACCACCTACCAGGAACCGGAGGTGCTGAAGGCTGAAACCTGGGGTCTGGTCAATGTGGTCCACCAGGCGGCCGGGGGTGGCCACCACAATATCAGCCAGGCAGCGGAAGCCATCCACCCTGTAGAACAGCATGCACTCAGCAGGACTCCACACCACAACTCTGCTCCCCACCCCCAGGGTGGGGCGGGACCTACGTTTTCTGGACCAAGCTCTCCTGCTCCTTGGCCAGCGCCTTCTGGCCAGTGACCAGGGCGACCCGCAGTGGGGTGGCATCTGTGTAGATTTTGAAGACTTTGCTCACCTGGAGAAGAGGCAGCCATCAGGGCTCGGCCCCTGCCCACCCCCCAGCCCCATGCCCCGGAGTCCAGTGCAGCCCATACCTGCTGTGCCAGTTCCTTGGTCGGTAGCACCACCAGGGCCCGAACCCGACATATAACCCGGCTAAGTAGCGCCTGCATGGAGTGGATCAGGTGAGTCAGACAAGGGCCAGCCACAAACCGGGAGGGGGGGGGGAGGGGGACGGGGGGACGGGGGTAAAGGCCGGCACGAAAACACACACCTGCACCACCGGAATGACAAACGCCAGCGTCTTCCCGCTGCCCGTGGGCGCCGACACACACAGGTCGCTGGGCTGGAAACCGCCTCTGCCCACCAGAAAACCGTTGGCCGCGCTGTGCAGAAGGGCGGGGATCACGGCTGCCTGAACTGCAGGGAAAGGGCGAGAACGACCCAATGGCAAGGCCAACAAGGCTGCCTAGACTGCAGGGGGTCGGGAACCCGCACCCAGCCTGCCTGTCCGTGGCGGGCACCTGGGAAGTAGGCCGAGATGCCGTGCGCACGAAGCTTCCGCTGCAGCTCGGGATGGACCTCAGGAAGGGCCTCCAGAGGCACTAGATGCTCCGTGACGTTCTTCCCCACGCACCTGGGCTCTGCCAGCCACGCCGGCAGGAACGGCTGCACCTGCCCGGGAACAGCCGCGTGAGCGTCCAGGGGCCGGGCAAATCCGGACCCGCCCCCACAACCCGGGTCGACTCCGGCTCGCTGCCCGCTGAGCCCCCTAAGACCCCTGCACATCTCAGGGGTGCCCGCGCCAGCAGCCAGTTTGGGTCCGGCTCAGACGCCACAGCGGAGGGCCGGGCAGGCGCCCACGGCCTGGGGGCCGCCAACCCTCACCTTGGGAGTCTTGGTCCTCGGGCGGCCCCCGAGCAGCGGACCGAGAGCGGGGGGCGGTGCGGCCCCGCCGTCCTCCTCCTGCCGCTCGCTGGGCGGCGGCGGCGGGCTCCCCGGGGTCCCGCCGCCCGCGCCCCCCCGCGACCGACGTGGCCGCCGCCGCCGCCGCCGCCCCACGGGCTCCGAGCTCTGCGCGGGCTCCTGTCGCCGCTCCTGCTGCCGCTCCCGAGCCCGGCACTGCAGCCGCTCCAGCAGCGCGCGGGCCCGCGCCGCCGCGCCCGCCTCGGTCCCCGCCTCCGCCCCGGCGCCCTCGGGGCCTGGGTACCGCGCCACGTGAAAGAGCGCCATGCCGCCAGCTGACACTCTTCGGCTGGCGCACGCCGATGACGAAAGGCGCGTCCGTGACGTCAGCGGCGCGCCGGGCGGCGGCGGCTTCTCGGCGCGGGCGGTGACGTCAGCGGCGCGCTGGGCGGCGGCGGGCGGCTTCTCCGCGTGGCCTGCGGGATGGAGCCGGCTCCGAGCCCCGGGGGCGCGCGCGAAGCGCTGGGCCGACGGGTGGAGGCGGTGCTGGCGAGCCGCGGCGAGGCCAACGCCGTGTTTGATATCCTGGCTGTGCTGCAGGTGGGCGCGGCGGGGTCTGGAGGCGGGGGGGGACTCGCGTGGGGTCCCGGGGCCCCCGCGAGCTCCCGCCCGGCCTGTCCCGCAGTCCGAGCACCCGGCGGAGGTCCAGGACGCGGTGCGCGCGTGCAGCCGCCTCTTCGGGGCCCTGCTGCAGCGCGGGGAGCTGTTCGTGGGCCCGCTGCCCCCCGAGGAGATGGTCTTGGCAGGTGAGCCTCCCGCGCGGCGAGGGGCGGGATCTGCAGCGAACCCCTAGCCGCGTCCCAGGGTTGGGGATGGGGACGAGCTGGGTCCGGCGAGCACCCGGGTGGGAAGGAGCCCTGGGCCGCACTGCAGCGGCTCCGCGGGGCCTGTGTCCCAGCGCGGACCGAGCCTGCGGCAGGGCACGCCCGGGAGCCGCGTCCCCCGCCCTCCCCGGCCTGACTTTCCCCAGCCTCGTTGCCCCGACTCGGGGGCTTCGCTTAGTCCCCGGGAGAAGCGAGGAGCAGGAGCGGTTTCCCGTTGTGGGGAAATAGCCCCATTCGGGATGAGCTCAGGTCTGGGTGGCTGGCACCTGCCTTTCTCCACACCCCGTTTCCTGCTAGCGTGGGGAGGCGGAGTGGGCTGTGGAGTCACCACCCCCCTCGCAGGCTCCCAGGGGGCCACCCGGAAGTACAAGGTGTGGATGAGACACCGCTATCAGAGCTGTTGCACCCGCCTGGGCGAGCTGTTGGCCCACCCCGCCTTCGAGGTCAAGGTGAGTGTGGGAGTACTGCTCGCCTTCGGCCGGTAGGGACGGGCTCGGAGCTGCCGGGCAGGGGGACATGGCTGCATCTGGCCCACTCCAGGAATCGGCCCTCGCTTCGCTCATGAAGTTTGTGAGGCTGGAAGGTGCCCACCCGCTGGAGAAGCCCAAGTGGGAAGGCAACTACCTGTTCCCACGGGAACTGCTGAAGGTGAGCTGGTGCTAGGGGACCCCTGGCGGTGGTGCCTCTGCCGTGGCCGACTCTGGCTCAGCGGGTGCCTCATCCCTCCCTGTGCCCAGTTGGTGGTGCAGGGTCTGCTGTCCCCCGAGGAGGACCGCACACTGCTGCTGTCGCATTTCCGCTCCTACCTGGAACACGACGACATCCGCTACCATACCATGCAGGCAGCCACAGAGGCAGTGGCCAGGGCCACCGATGGTCACCCTGAGGTGAGGGGGGATCCTAGCCCCTCATGGGTCAGGGTAGGGGATGTGGCCGGGGCACTGGGGCTCAGCTGGGCTCTGGTAGGTGCCGCTCGCCTTCTGGAACAACGTCTTCTCACTGCTGTCTGCTGTGAGCCTGCCACGCCAGGAGGGCACTAACGTCAGCTTCTACGTGCCACACGCTGGTGAGTGCCAGGCGGGGACACCAAGGGCAGGGGCATGAGAGCACCAGGTGACATGTTTCCTTCAACTTCTTTTATCAGAGATATCAGACAAGTGGAAGGTCGCTCACTTGAAGGTGAGACTGGGCGGCTGACATCCTGGGAGACACAAGAAAGGGCTCTGCAGGGAATGCAGCTCCCTGAGCCTGGCCTGGGCGCCCCTGCAGCCCCGCCCCTCCTCCCATGGGCACCCCTGCAGCCCCGCCCCTACCCCCCTGGGCACCTGTGCAGCCACGTTCTTCCCTCAGGAGCACCGGAAAGTCTTTCAGCATATGTGGCTCAGCTTCCTCAAGCACAAGGTAGAGCTGGGACAGTGGGGGCTGCCCCGTGCTGGTGGGGGCGGGGGCCTGGCTGCCCCTGACGTGCTCCTGTCTCCAGCTGCCCCTGAGCCTCTGCAAGAAGGTGCTGGTGATCATGCATGACGCCATCCTGCCCAGCCTGGCCCAGCCCAGCCTCATGATCGACTTTCTCAGCCGCGCCTATGATGCCGGTGGGTGGGACCTCCCAGGCGGGGGCGGGGCACTCTCCCAGGGGTGTTGGGCTCACCTGGCGCTTTCCCCGCAGGAGGTGCCATCAGCCTCTTGGCCTTAAACGGCCTTTTCATCCTGATCCACAAGCACAACCTGTGAGTGTTCCCTGGGCCCCTCCGCTGCCTGTTTCACCCGCTCAGCCTGAGGAGACTGAGCCTGAGAAGGGGTCGGGAGGGGACTCAGGCCCTGCCCTCCGGACCCCTAGGGAGTACCCTGACTTCTACCGGAAGCTCTATGGCCTCCTGGACCCGTCCATCTTCCATGTCAAGTACCGTGCCCGCTTCTTCCACCTGGCGGACCTCTTCCTGTCTTCTTCGTGAGTCTCCCCCCAGCCTCTCCACGCCCCTCAGCAGAGCCCACTCTGCCGAACACGGCCCCTCACTGCCCTCCCCCGCCCAGACACCTGCCTGCCTACCTGGTGGCGGCCTTCGCCAAGCGGCTAGCCCGCCTGTCCCTGACGGCGCCCCCGGAAGCCCTGCTCATGGTGCTGCCCTTCATCTGCAACCTGCTGCGTCGGCACCCGGCCTGCCGTGTCCTGGTGCACCGCCCTCGAGGCCCTGGTGAGTCTGCGTCACGGAGGCCTCCCAGGGCAGGCACGAGCAGGTGGCAGACGGTTGGTCTCTCCTAGAGCTGGACGCTGACCCCTACGACCCCCAAGAGGAGGACCCAGCCAGGAGCCGAGCCCTGGAGAGCTCCCTGTGGGAGCTGCAGGTGGGCACGGTGGCTCCCCGGTGCCCTGGTCTGCCGCGAGGCGTTGTGGGGCGTTGCTGACCCCATCCTCCCCTAGACGCTGCAGCAGCACTATCACCCCGAGGTGGCCACAGCCGCCAGCGTCATCAACCACGCCCTATCTGTGCCCGAGGTTAGCATCGCGCCGCTTCTGGAGCTCAGTGCCTTTGAGGTAAGGCGGAGACAGTGCGGCATCTGCGGGGTGGGGGCGCGCAAGCCGGTGGGGACAGCTCTGTCCTCCTGTCCCCACAGATCTTCGAGCGGGATCTGAAGAAGACACCCGAATCGGTGCCGTTGGAGTTTCTCCCACCCCAGGGTCTGCTGGGCCGCCATGACCAGCTCTGTGCCCAGGTCTTCACGCTGGGCTGATGCTGCACCCCAGCCCCCAGACACCAAACTGAGCTCCGACCTCCACCAGGGCCTCCTGGTGGGCTGGGGCACAGCACGAGGAGCCTTCCTGGGTGGTCATGGGCTGCAGGGGACAGACCACCTGGTCACACGACTGAATGGTCCCCTCCAAGATACTTAGCCCACACCCTCAAGTCCACTTCAGCATGGCTGGGTGGCCAGCTCTGAGGAACCCGGGTTCGGGGCAGTGATGTCCATCATGGGCCCTACCATGAGCATTTTGGGATTTGGTTTTTTGTCTTTTGGGGTCACCCAGCAATGCCCTGGGGTTAGTCCTGGCTCTTCACTCAGAAATTACTCCTGGTGGAGCTCAGAAGACCATATGGGATGCTGGGGATCGAACCTGAGTAGGGCACGTGCCAGGCAAACACCCTCTCTGCTGTGCTATCCCTCCAGCCCCCGGCATGAGTGTTTTTGTAAGACAACTGGCACCTGTTCTGTAGCTCTGTCCCAAGTAGTGAGGAGGGAGGAAGCCCAGAGCTCATGCTCCAACTGCAAAGAGCCATTTCAAGTGACTTGCAGTGTCTGCTCATAGTTAATCAGGGCCAGCCATGGATCTTTATTAAATTCTATTTGCATATACCTATTTTAAGTTCAGAATGTTGGGGGGTGGAGTTTTGTTCTGAAGCCACACCCAGCTATGCTCAGTGATTCTACCTGGTGGGGTTAGGAGACCACGTGGAATGCTGGGGATCAAACCCAGGTCCCCTCTGCACGATCGGTCCCAGCCAGCCACTGGTTTGAGATTCCCTTATCCTGGTGGAGCAGTCCTGATGGGCTACCCCACGTAATTCTCTATGAACCAGACATGGGTTGGGAGGAGCTGCAGAAGCTGGGGTAGGGGTGGTACTGGGAAGCGGGAGGGGCCAGGCAGAGAAGGGCAAACTCCGGGCTTCTCTCTGGGAGGGGCAGGATGCACCTCAGCATGGCTCCTGGCCCCCACTGCCACAGGGGGGCAGCACTGCTCTTAGCTTTGGAGGCTGGGCCATTGCCCTGACTGCTAAGAAGCAGAGCCTTCCTGAGTGGGGTCCCAGGCATCTGGCCAGGCAGAGCCCCTGCCCTGATTGTTTGCAGCCCTATTGTGCTGCTCAGAGACCAAGATGTGCAGCCACCCAGCCTAGGAGACCCACTTTCTCCATAGAACCTAGACCCCCGCTGCCTGGCACATGGCTGCCAGCAAATTCTGTTCTGCAGGCCCTCCTCACAATCCTGGGGTTCCAGGACTGGAACAGGCTGTGTGTGTGGCCTGTGCCAATAAAACTTTATTTATAAAAACAGGCATGGGGCTGGATCACTTTGCTGACCTGTGTGAGAGGAGGAAGACAAGGGCAGGCTGGCCTGTGGAGCAGCCGCTCCCAGGGGCCGAGTTCTCCAGTCCCTTTTCTAGCCTCTGTTCCAGCAACACCGGGTCTCATCCAATCCCTGCCCGCAGGGGTCTGGACCACAGCTGTCCATGCCCGTGCACTTCCCCCCCCCCCCCCCGGCCTCCAGCTGGGGCGCCGGGAAGAGTGGCCTGGCCAGGCTGGGTCAGAACTCGCATCTGTGTCCGCTGGGCTTATCTGCGCTGTGGATGGGGCGTTAGCACATGCAGCTGCGGCCAGGCGCGTCCCTGAAAGGCACGTGGTTCAGCCGCAGGTGCCGCCATGGAGGGCTCGGGCCAGCCGGGCATCTGCACGGTGCTTGGGGCTCAGGACCGCCCATGCTTGATCCAGTTCCTGATGGTCCACTTCTGCCCGGAGCAGCGCTGCACCACCAGCCGCAGCCCGAAGTGTGCATCCTTGGACATCTCCACCTCCAGGCACCTGCCCGTGTCCCGGCTCACGATGGGGCCGCTCTGTGCCGGGGTCACCAGGTCAGCCCATGCGATCCCTGCAGCCCCATCCAGCCCAACTGCCCCCACCCTGGCCCGCACTCACCTGGGTGAAGTCCCACAGCCTCTGCGTGGGCCGGGCCACATCCTCGCACTTCTTCAGTGCAGGTGCCCGGCCCCTGCCCTCGTCCACCAGGCACTTGGAGTCAGGCAGGAAGGCGGTGGACCCCAGTGGGCCCAGCTGCAGCAGCCCCTCGGCACTGTAGCGCACCAGCTGTAGGGGCAAGAGGCCTGAGTGCACCCCACACCCTGGGAGCAGGAGGCACAGCCCCCAGCCCACTCCTTCTAGCCAGGGAAGATGATCTTGTACCCCCCCCCCCCCACCTGGCCCTGTGGGAGATGCTTCCCAGGACCGGAAGTGTGTGCTCTCGCCCCACCCCCACCCTCGGCAAGCCACAAGCCCGGGCCTCTATTACGTGTGTAAGCAAACTTCCCTCCAGGGGTTCTCTTGTGTATAAGCATTAACATTCCACATGCCCACACACCAGTACACATAAGCACACCTACAAGCACCACCTGCACTTGCACACATATAGATGACCCATGCATGTACGCACCACCCAGAGATGCACACACCCACATGTATACACCCATGTGCACATATTTCCATACATATCCACACGTAACATCCACATATGCATGCCCCCACATGCACACCCCACTACACACGTGTACATGTACACAGCTATACACATCCACACATGTATACTCACACTGCACACATGCATAGTCATCCACATCCACATGTGCGCACTCATACAAACCCATGCCCATATAGCCACACATACCACCCATACACATGCACTCTCGTGTTGGGGCCTCTCTGACCCAGGGCTGCTGAGGAGGTCAGGAGACTGCAGCAGGAGGGGCCAGGGGCATGACTTCCTCTCCTCGGCTCACTGGCTTCCACACACAGGTACAGTGGGGCTGCCCGGAAATGCCCACGAGCACCACTGAGGAGTCCACAGCAGCAGCACCCACACAGTGCCGCATGGAGCACCACAGGTTTCTGCAGCAGCAGCACCCACCCTGCTCTGCAGCCCCGTGGCCTCCTGGGCTTCAGGAACTTCAGGTCTCACCACCTCCAAGAGATTCCGAGGTGGAGCCAGGCAGAGGCTCGCGGGCTCAGTGCAAGTGAAGCTGCTCTCCCTGTCTACACTCCTCATGTCCCACCTGGTCCACTGGATGGGGGAAACTGAGGCACGGTGTTCCATGACTTGCCCAAGGCCCTGCCCTTGCTCATCACCCACCTGGGAGGCCATGCCATGGCAGGGGTAGAGGATGGCCCGGTCGTCGTCCTCCGCTCCCTGGTCCAAGCAGTAGCCACTGGCTTTGCTATTCCTCACCTGAACCAGACACCAGAGGCGGCATGAGGGTCAAGTGGGCCCAGCTGATAGGGCCTTGGGTGCTCTGGGCCAACTGTTGAGGTGTGGGGCCACCTGAGCAGGGAGAAGAGGCACAGCCACGGCCTGGGGATGCCATAATTCTGTGCCGACATGCAGGAGCAAGCCTGGCCCTGGCCCTGAGCTCTGCCCAGCAGGCCCAGCCACCTTAGTGGCACACCAGCCTAGACACCAGGGCCCCTGTGCTCACTGGACCAGGTTGGATCCTCCCTGCTGCCCAAACCAAAGCCCAGAGGCCTGGGTCCATCAGCATGAAGGAACAGGCTACAGGGATGGAGAGGCACTGCTTCACCGGCTGACAGTGAGCTCAGAGCCCAACCCTGGGCCCATACCGCTCCCGATGCAAGTGCTGAGGGCCTGTGTGTGTGTGCAAGGCGGTGGCCCAAATGCACAGGTGCTGGGGTCTACGTGAATCTGTGCGTGTGCGAGTCTACGCATGCCAGTGGAGTCTATGTGTGTCTGTACATGTGTCTACATGTGTGTCTGCGTAAGTCTATGCATGTGTTACTCACATGTTAGCATACATGAGTCTGTTTGTGTGAGTGCATGCATGTCTGTGAGAGCCTGCGTGAATCTGTTTGTGTGTCTATATGTATGTGTGCACACTGTGCACACATCTTTATCTTTGTGTGCAAGTGGACACGCAGGCAGCACTTTCCTATGTGCTCATCCGAACCACAGCTGACACACACAAGCACACAAGTGCAAGTATGGACACGTGATCGGTTGTTTCCCTAGACACACATATGGCATGTATTCTCCCATGGGGGGGGGGAGGCTGCACACATGTGGTGCGTGTGTGTTCGGAGGCGGTACCTCTCCGTACGTGAGCGTGTTGTTGTAGGTCCGCATCTCTGGGTACACGTTCTCCAGGTACCACTTGAAGCTGCGACATTTCAGCCTCTGGCGCAGGGCCAGTCTCTCGGACACATCCCCAAAATCCACGCCTGGGTTCTGCGAGGTAGACGCAATGCAGCCGTGAGGCAGGGAGGGTCCGGGGTGAGCACCAGGACCAGCCCTCAGGCCTGGGCACGCCCAGCCACCCCACCTGCCAGGCACGGAGCTGCTCTGGGCTGAAGGCCTGTTGTTGATCCCTAAAGTCACCGCGAGGGCTACAGGAGGCTCCTGCAACAGTGTCAGGCAGCTCTGGGGGTCCGGGCAGACCCTCAAGAACTAAGCACTGTGTGTGCGGCCCCGCCTGCATATGGACCACAGAGGACCCTGTGTCCCTTTCGTTGCGAATGAGCCACGTCCACTCACACCTCTGAGTCCGTGCTCACTGGGGAGGAGGCTAAGAGACATGGGGGTCCCCAGAGGGCTCATCTGACCGATGGTCCAGCCTCACCCGCATGCCAGGCACAGCTGGGCATGTGTGACTCCAGGGGTTTGCTGTCATGGGCAAGAGGGGGGCAAGCTCTTGCTTCACAGGAGGGGGTGTCCACAGGCTGTTCCCAGAGGGAGGAGGCTGGGCCTTTCTGCCACCACAGGAGCAGCTGTTCCTCAGCACACGCACAGCTACACAGGTGCACATGTGCGCAGCTACAGGCACTGAGCAGCACACAATCGCACACATGTGTATACACCAAAATCCAGGCCATGACCCCTGTTCCTGCGTCTCCTGCCCCTCCCAAATGGGCTAACGGCACGTGGCCAGGCCCAGGCTGTGGTGGGGGTCCTGGGGGGCCGGCAGAGGCCGCTGCCCCTGTGCTGATTCTGGGGAACCCCTAGCCCAGCCGCGCCAGCTCACAGTCATGGGGATGTTCCAGGCCATGTACACGTGGGACTTGAAGCCGTCCATCCACACCTCGGCTGCGCGCAGGGCGTTGCGTTTCGCATAGTAGTCGATGTCGTTGTTGTAGGGCTTCCGGGTGCGCTCGATGTGGGCCACGCGGGAGCAGGGCAGCACCTCCATGCTGCCCCCACACTGCCACACCTGGAACGGGAAGGGGCACCCTCAGCAGTGGCCAGGGAGGCACCGCATCTCGCCCAGCCCCACCCTTACCACAGACCACTTAGCATCACACCAGTCCCTCTGCCCCAGAACAAGCCCATCTGCCAGGAAGTGGCAGCCAGGTGAGAGGAGCCACACGCAGCGCCAGCACAGGCAGGAGCATGTCAGGGGCACCCAGTCCCCGTCCCTCCAGGCCTGGATGGGAGCAAAACAAGGAGGACAAACCCCAACAATTCAACCTGCCCCAGCAGCTGGGAGCAGGGAGGCCCCCATGCCCAGAGCCCGTCTCCTCAGTTCCACACCAGAGAAGCGCTGTCACTCTGCCTGTGCAGTGTCCAGGGCCTCCATCACCCACACAGTGACGGTGGGAGAGCAGGGAACAGCCTGCAGGGAGCTACACAGATGGAAGGAGATAGAACCACAGCAGATCCCCATCCTCACAGGTGACACTGTCCTTAAAAGTGTCCCTATACTCACAGCTAACTGTCCTCAGAGGTGAGTCCTGACAGGTGACACTGTCCTCACAGGTGACCCCATTCTCACAGGTGACACTGTCCTTAAAAGTGTCCCTATATTCACAGCTAACACCATCCTCACAGATGACACTGTCCCCAGAGGTGACCTCATTCTCACAGGTGACACTGTCCTCAGAGGTGACCTCATTCTCACAGGTGACTCTGTCCTCACAGGTGACACTGTCCTCAGAGGTGACCCTGTCCTCACAGGTGATACTGTCCTAAGAAGTGACCCCCATTCTCACAGGTGACACTGTCCTCAGAGGTGACCCCATTCTCCCAGTGACACTCTCCTCAGAGATTATCCCATTCTCACAAGTGACACTGTCCTTGAAGGTGTCCCTATACTCACAGCTAACACCGCCCTAACAGGTGACACTGTCCTCACAGGTGACACTGTCCTCAGAGGTGACCCCATTCTCACAGGTGACATAACATTTACGGGTGAGACTTTCCTTAACAGCTACACTGTCCTCACAAGTATTCCCATCTTATCACTCAGAGGCTGCTGTCCCAGGTAACCCCATTAAAGCCCTACCTGCTGGCCTATCTCTCCGGCCCTTATCCTTAGTATTTTCAAAGTGAAACCAGTTTCCATCATTTTTTGCACTGCAGCTGGGCCCAAGCACTTGCCGGAAAGGCCAGTGCTGTCCTGGTCCGACCATAAGGACATACAGTGCAAGGCCTGGCCTGTGCCCACACCGCTGCTGTCAGAGGCAACCTGGAAGCAGTTCTCACAGCTGTGCTTGGGGGCAGCCCCTTCTCTTTCACTGTCCCACAGCCTTCTGGCCTCCCCAAGACCCAAGTGGCACTTGGTCCCTTGGCCCCACAGCACTGCCTCCTGCCCTGCCTGAGCTCCTCTCAGCTGCCCACAGTCTCACCCCCAGTGCACCTGAGAGCTCCCACAGGTGGTACCTGGGCTGGGAACCCAAGAGAAGCCACCACTGCGTCTCCAGGAGCTCACAGTCTAGGCCTGACCCGTCCCGTCAGAAGATGATGGAAACTGGTTTTCACCTTGAAAATACTAGGAATGAGGGAGAGATAGGTTAACAGTAGGCACTTGCCTTACATGCAACCATCGCAGATTCGATCCTCAGCACCCCATATTGTCCCCCAAGCACCTCCAGGAGTGATCCCTGAGCACAGAGCCAGAAGTAAACCCTGAGCACTTCCCCCAAACAAAACAAATACTAAGGCTGAGGGCTGGAGCAATAGTACACCGGGTAGGGCCTTTGCCTTGCATGCGACTGACCCAGGTTCGATTCCCAGCATCCCATATGATCCCCTGAGCACTGCCAGGAGTAATTCCTGAGTGCAAAGCCAGGAATAACCCCTGAGCATTGCTAGGTGTGACCCAAAAGGCAAAAAAAAAAAAAATACTAAAGCTGAAATGCCGCCACCCCTCAACTACCATTAGTTCTCAAGCTGACCTTCCCCCATGACTCCAGTGACTAGATAATGGGGTCACCACCTTTCCACAATTGACAGACCCGTGAACCCTTCCCCTCCATCCACCTGCCACCCCCACCTACTGCTCCCCCAATCCACCCAGTCAGCATCTCTATCTCTCATCCACCCACCCAGCCACTGTCACCGTTGCTGCCTCCATCATCTATCCCCTCACTTCCACGCGGGCCGTGGTGGCCCCATGCCCGGCCACACCCGTCAGGAGCTGGGCTCACACTAGGCCCAGCAAGCTCGGTGCTGCACTGGGTGACCAGGTCAGGCTGCGACTGACAGGAAAGCAGCATCCTATCCCACAGGCCGTCTCACCTGGTCCAAACTCAGGAGCCAGCCCACCATCACCTTCCTTTCAGCTGCTCAGAATCTGCCCGTTTGATAAAAGGAAATGACAGTGATTCGCCTTCAGTCTGGACAAAACCCTGTGAGTCAGTCTGAGAGGTTTCACAGAACACTGAATTTCACTGCAGATTTCTAACACACTTGGCACTGCCTACTGCCCTGTGCTGCCTGATGTCCCAGGCAGCCCCAAGCTGACACCCCAGGGTGCCATTGGTCCCCAGCTGTGTCAGGACCGTCCCTCTAGGCACAACCTGACTGGGTTTACCTCAGAAAGGGAGAGGTGTTGGGCCTCTTAGTGCAGACCTGCCTTCCCAGGCATCCCACGTGAGACAGTCTCCAACCCAGGAAAATGAGTTTCCCCCTCTGCCCCGGGCCCCTCTGGGCGGTCTCAGAAGCCCAGGAGCAGGGGAGATCCCGGTGTGTCACGAGCCCAGTGCCCACTCCAGGGATGGAGAATACTCGTGACAAGGCCGAGCTCCACTGTGGGGCGGTGAGAGGCGTACGCGCTAGCTCAGACAACGCTCGGCTCCACCCACAGGCATCACAAAACAGCTTCCAAAGAGCAGAGTTCAGGGCCCACAGGAGCCCTGGGAAGGACATGCTGGGCAGAGTCACTCGACGGTCCCCTGATGCAAGAGGAGCCCCCAGGTCAGCCGAAAAATGCAGAAAGGCTGCCAAGGAGGACAGACAGATGCAGAAAATGTTTGCACTCATGACTAATGGGAGAAACTCAAACTGCCGACAAAGAAGGAGCTTCACACCTGCTGCATCTGCAGAAAGTGAAATGGGGGCAGGAAAGTGCCTCCCTCAGGACCACTGAGGACACACAGACACATATGACATGAACACACATGACTCATGAACACATGGAACAAACACATATGAACACACAAGGAACACAACACACATGGACACATGAGAACAAATATGAATATGGCATACTGTGAACATACAAGGACGTAAAAGACCATACAAGAATACATGAACCCAGACAATATGAACACACAAGGATATGTATGAATACAAGACAACATGTGTGAACACATGAACACACGCCTTGAGGGGACAGAGGGTTTGGTAAATTATATCAAGAGCCATTAAATGTGCAATGTGATTTCACTTCTAGAAATGTGACTTGAGGTGCAGAGAGGACGCCTGCCTTGTAGAGGCCAATCTGGATTCGGTCCCTGCACCACATATGGTTGCCCAAACCCCATCAGGAGTGATCCGTGAGCACCGCTGGGTGTGGTTCAAAACCCAAACAGAAGCATGTCCTCATAAAACAAAAGCTGTGAAAAAAGGTCAGACTTAAGCCCTCTTATTTTCAAGATGCACAAAACGACAAAACATGAGAACAGCATGGAGCCATGGCCTGGAGCCCAGGGGACCCCTGAAATGCTGTCACTGCCGCCTGGGGATGGGTCTGGCACCAGGACAGATGGTCCCACCTGACAGAGCAGCGGCCACCGGGGAACATGAGGGGGCGTGGAAACTCCACTGCATAAAATCCTTGTGTACAGGAACACACACGTGGAGGTCACGTGTGTAAGACCTACTGTATACATGGAACACAGGACCTCTGTCTGTGTATAGGAACACACAGGTGGAGGTCACGTGTGAGACCTGCTGCATGCATGAAACACTGGACCCTGTTGAGTGCAGGTGCACGTGTGCAGGTCACGTTTAAGTCCTGCCACATGCATGAAACAAAGAAGCCATGTCTGGGCGCAGTCACATATGCGGAGGTCACGGCTGCATGTGTCCAACGCTGCAAGGACGCCCCTGGGGAACCTGCCACATGTCATAACAAAGTGGTCCGTGTGCAAAAAAGAGAGCCAGAGAGGCTCGAGGCCCAGCAGCAAGGGCCCAGGGCAGCCCTTGGCAGCCAGGGCAGCCCTCAAGCTTCACTGGCCGTGGCCACAAAAGAAAACAAAACTAACAAAAAGCAAAAACAAAATCAAGGGAAAAAAACAAATTCCACAAAACCTGCATTCACCAAGCACGAAGCTGTGATGAGTGTGGAGACAGCCTGAGAGCACAAAGTTGGCCCATCCAGGGACTGGGCAGGCACAGGGACGGGACAAACCACCTCCCCAGACGCTGAGCACCAGAGCCCTTCCCACAGACAGCTCGCTGGGGACAGCATCCTGTGCACCCCAAGCAGTTCTGCTCCCCTCATGGGCCCTCCCAGTGCCGGACAGGAGAGAGAAACAGGCCCGGGCGCCCATCTGCGGTGAGGTCGCCCTGGACAAGGACGGACAGGTCTGACCTTCCAGAGAGGAGCCAGTGACTGCTGCGCTGAATCCGATGGCCACCTGCACCGATGCCCCCACGGGCCCCTGCACTCTAGCTGGCAGACACGTGGTCACACTACCAGTCAGGTCGACTCAGCCCTGTGCAGGCTCAGTCTTCTGACTGAGGGCATCTCTATGAGCCTCCGGACACCCTATCAGAGGCAGGGTAGCCTCAGGGCCCTGGAGAGAGGAGTGCCCCTCCACATTGCGCCCCACCTGCAGTTCCCACACACTGACACCCTCTAACCCCTGCTCCCTCCCCCACACACCTGCACTCCCCTGCTTCCTCCCCCCAACACACACTCTGCACCCCCTGTTCACACACACAAACACTCTGCACCCCCCTGCTCACACACACACATACATACTCTCTGCACCCCCTGCTCTCTCTCACACACACACACACTCTGCACCCCCCTGCTCACACACACACACTCTGCACCCCCCTGCTCACACACACACTCTCTGCATTCTCCAGCTCACACACACACTCTGCACCTCCCTGCTCACACACACACTCTGAACCCCTCTGCTCCCTCACATACACACACACTCTGCACCCCCTGCTCACACACACACACTCTGTACCCCCCTGCTCTCTCTCTCTCACACACACACACACACACACACACACACACACACATACTCTGTACACCCCGATCCCTCCCACACACACTGCATTGGACCCTGGAGACAGGCAGGTCACAGGTCAAGTCCAGCTGCCTTTCTCCACCCACACCCTTGGCCCCAACCAGACCACCCCGCCTCAGCCTGAGCCCCTACCTTTCTCCTATGCCTGGTCCTTGCTGGGGCCCTGCCCCTAACCCATTATTCCTCAAAAGCCGCCCCTGTGAGTGCCGGGACTGGCCACAGCAGCAGCCCACAAGTGCCTGGGACAGACCTGAGATGTGCCACTCAGATGCCACATGGACACCAGGAGAGCCCTGGGCAGGGACAGGCAGAGCATAGGGCCCGAGTCTTCAGCCATGAGCACCTTGAGAGGACAGCTGTGAGCCCTCCTTGAGCCCACCTACGGTGGGCCCAGCTACGGTGGCACCAAGGCACACACACAACCCTGATGGGCAACAGGCCTGGTGGCCTCTCCCAGACACTTCTTGTGGTGTGGGATCAGCAGTGATGAAGATGACGGGCTCGGGGCTCACCCTGACATACACCCCTCGCCTCACAGCCCACCCTCCAGCTTCCACTGACCAGCTGCTGGCCCCTCTGCCTCCTGGCAGCTCGGGGCCCAGCCTCACCCGCATGCCCAGCTCGATGTTCTCGCCGCCGTACACCTCCATCCCAGGGTCCAGCAGGCCAATGTCCCTGAAGTACTCCCTGTCCACCACGAACGAGCAGCCAATCATAGCTGGGGTCCTGAGGGAGCAGAACCGTCACCTGCCTGCAGGGAGAGAGGGCAGCCAGCCAGGGTGCCCACCCTCTCGGTCCTCACCACGGGGATATCTATCACCTAGCCCCATGACACAGACCACCAGGAGCACGGCAGAGCAGAGGACAGGCCAGTGGTCATGTGCTCCCAGAGGTCAGCAGCAGGGGACAGAGTGGGCAGGACTGACCCCCAGGAACTTAGCCATGTGGGTGCCCACACGGTCACTCATGTTCCTGCCACATCCCATGCTGTCCAGCTCTGCTGCCTCTCCAGCGTCCCTGAAGGCTGTCCAGGCACCAGGGTCCAGCCTTTCTGTGTGCTCAGCCCGGCCATGCCACGCACAAAAGCCAGTTGGGGCAACCTATGTGGTCTCGTGCCCATGGCGCTCGTGTGCTGTCTGGCAGCACCAATGACCCATAGCCTTGTCCCCCAGAGAAACGGGCTCTGGCAGGAACCACCACCCCAAGAAGCCAGTGAGGGCTGAGGCCCCTCTGTCAGGGACAAGCCTGGGGCAGCTGCGCAGGGCCAGGGGGGCACAGGAGAGGGAGGGAGAGGCCAGTAGGAAAGGGGTGACCTCTAAAGTCCTTCATGCAGAGGCAGGAAAAGACCTCCTGTCCCCAGGGTCCCAGCACACCCGCTCCATGAGTTCCTGCTGCTCCTCCCCACCGCGCTCCCTGCACTCTCACAATGCTCCCTGAATTTCCCCACAGTGCTCCCCGCACACCTACCCCACGGACAGCTCCCAAGAGGCACTGGATCTCTCTGAGAAAGCAACAGGGAAAGGTTGACCTCTATTCCCATGCAAAAATGAGGTCAGAAGTAATATCTAACACTCGGCCGGCAGGCAGCGACAGAAGCATTAAAAAGTGCTTTTCTCTTTATTTGCTCAAAGGTTCAATTTCAATTTAGAATCTGGCCTGAACGCAACAGTAAGGAAATTCTAATGCTGTTGTTAACTTGACAGCAAGCATCTGATAATTAAGTTACAGTTCTGTGTACGACAGGCATTCCTCTCATTTTCTTAACAAGAACAGAAAGTCCGAGCGATCTCTGAAGAACTGAAACACCCAACCTCCTGCCGAGTCTACAGCTGGTGATGATTTCCCAGTGCTGCTTTGAGCTCCAAACCATGCTCAGACCAGCTCAGAAGACACAGCCAAAGGCTGCTGCACTGGGCTGGTCACAGGAAATGGCCAGGGGGGCTGGAGCAATAGCACAGCGGGTAGGCGTTTGCCTTGCATGCGGCTGACCCAGGTTCGATTCCCAGCATTCTATTTGGTCCCCTGAGCACCGCGAGGAGTAACTCCTGAGTGCATGAGCCAGGAGTAATCCCTGTGCATCGCTGGGTGTGACCCCAAAAGCAAAAAAAATAAAAACAAACAAACAAACAAAAAAAAACAGGAAACGGCCAGGGCCCGGTCTCTTTCTCCATCCTTCTCTCTCCTCATGGGATGTTCACAAACCTACCCCAGCACCCCAGCTGCAATGGCTCCTTCCTGCCCACCTGCCACAGGGGCAGAGCTGGACACCCACAGGGTCCTGTCCTTCTGACCCTGCAGCCTGCCAGTCCAGTGCTCACCTGATGGGGGCCGCCTCGTCGCCGCGGTCCAGCCAGTCCCTGGGAGGGACGATGTACATGCACCAGAGGCCCCAATTGTAGCCGTGGGCTGCGCTGGCATACTGCTGCACCTCGAAGGTGTCGAACTTGATGTTGTCGATAGCCGGCAGCACGATACGTCTCCGGTCCTCACGGATGCGCATCAGAGCGGGCTCAGCCCTGCAGGGCACAGTGTGAGTGATGAGAGGGACGCCACTGTCTCTCCCTGGGGCTGTCCAAGGATGTGGCACTTCTAAGGGGTCATCCTCTCCTCCCACAGTGCACTAACAAGCCTCCCATGTGGTCTCCCAGCCCACCAGGAGGAGCCCAGGGCTCTGGGAGCCAGGCCACCACACCACATAAGTGTGTGTGCAGCTGCGTGACCCATCACATCTGTGTGTGTGTATGTATGTGCTATTCATGCACACGTGCTTGTGTGGTGCTGGACTGTGCACACCTCCAAGTGTGCGTGTGTGTAGCCTCCCCCCACTGACCCGTCATCCTGGGTGTGGATGGACACACCCGATGGACAGAGAGCTGGTTCTTTTCTGGGGTCCTCCAGACCCTGTCAGGGACACCATGGGCCAATGGCCACTGCACGCTCCAGCCCTGGGCTGGCTGGGTGGCCCGCAAGCCCCTCCTCAGCATCTTTCACTGCCCCGAGCCCTTCAGAGACCCTGGGCCCAGACCCCCAACACCCCTGGGGTCCTCTCTATGGTCCTGCTCCTCAGTCATGGAGGTGTCCCTCCCCAGTCTGCCACCTGGAATCATCTAGAAGGTTCCACAGGGTTGGGGGCTTGCTCACGCCGCCAGGAACAGACCCGGCCCCACAGACTCGCCTCTCCCCGCTGACAGGGCTTGCATCCACTCACGTGGGACAAGGTGGGCCTGGAGCGGCACCAAGGGGAGCGCGGCCCTTACCAGCCGGTGCTGAACTCCACGTGGGCGTCAAAGAAGCCGACCACGGGGGCCGTGGCCGCCCGCCAGCCCTGCAGCCGCGCCCGGATCAGGCCTTCCCGTCGGCTGTTGCGCACAACCTTCACGAGCCCAGGGTACCGCTTGTTCACGTACTGGTCCAGGTTGAACTTGAGCTCCGCTGCAGAGACACACACTCAGCTCAGCACCAGCCCCGACAGATCTCCTGGGAGGGGCCCTAAGAGTGGGCCACACATTTGGGGCGGGGCCTGGGGTGGGGCCACATGTTTGGGGCGGGGCCTAAGGGGTGGAATCATACATCTGGGATGGGGCCCGAAGGCTGAGCCACACATCTGGGGCGGGACCTTGGGGTTGGGACCACATATCCGGGGCGGGGCCTGAGAGGTGGGGCTACACATGGGGCAAAGCCCTAAGGGTGGACCACACATCCGGGGCGGGGCCTGGGAGGGGTGGGATATCATATCGGGGCAGGGCCTGAGAAGTGGGACCACACATCCAGGGTGGGGCCCTAAGGATGGGCCACACATCTGGGGCGGGGCCTGGTGGGTGGGGCCACATATTTGGGGCGGAGCCTGAGGGGTGGGATCACACATCCGGGGCGGGGCCTAGGGTGGGGCCACATCTTGGGGGCGGGGCCTGAGGGTGGAACCGCACATCTGGGGCGGGCCCTAAGGGTGGGTCACACATCCGGGGCGGGGCCTGAGAGGTGGAATCACACATCCGGGGTGGGGCCCGAGGGAGTGGGCCACACATCAGGGCCGGGGTCTCATGCTGGGAAGTGAGAAGACACACCTGGGGCGGGGTCTGAGGGGGTGGGACCACACATCCGGGGCGGGACCTCAGGAGGGGAACCACATATCTGAGGCGGGGCCTCCACTAGGGGCGGGGCCACAGCCTGAGTAGGACCAAGCAGGCATGGGCGGGGCCTCAATCCAGGGATGAGGTCACCCAGCCGAGGAAGTCGCACATCTTGGTTGGGGCCCCTGCCAGTGGGGGCCACAACCTCGGGACCAGGCCACACATGGGGGTGGGCTGCTCATGCGTCTGGGGTCACAGACGTATGAAAGCAGAAGACATGTGCAGCGGGGGAAGTGCAGTGGAACCAGCTCGGAGAGTCCAGGCTGACCCGTGAGCCAGGTGCATCCCAGCCCGTCGTGAGGTTTGCCGACAAGGAGGGATCCGGACGCAGCCACCAGGGTCACCAGGGTCTTGTGGAGGAACTCGGTAGGGACCCTCGTGCCTGGGACCCCAGGAGGCACATTTGGGCAGGAAGTGGTTGGGGGTAGGGGTCACTGTCTGATGGGCTGGTGTCCATTTGGGGATGGGAGAGCATTCTGTAGTTGATAATGGCCCTGCACACCGGGGACATAATGCCACCAGGTTGGCACTAGAGTGGCTCCACGGATCCACATGTACATCACCATAGTTGGAAAGGGACAGAGAAGCAACATGGTGAACACTTTGGAGAGGGAGCCAGGAGCTGTCCCAAGGGTTTTGGCCAGGGGGACTGTCTAGGGGTTAAGAGGGTATCCAAGAGAGAAGAGCACTGGAATAGCCATCAGGGTGTCAGGATGGTGACACCATAAAATGGTGTTAGGATGCAGGGGCAGGTCTGAAGTGGCAGGGAAGAGAAGAGATGAGGATGGGCACATGTAGGGTGTAGGGATGGCCTATGTGCAAAGGTGGCCTTTGCGCCATTATTTACACATTAAGGTGTGTAGAGGAGGCAACACACGAGGTGGTGCCGGGATGCAGGGCTGTGCAGGGCTTCAGGTGGCTTGCAGGGGTGTGGAGGGCTGTTCAGGGTATGGATGGCTCGCAGTGCTGCAGATGGTTGTGCAGGGGTGTGGAGGGCTGTGCAAGGGTGTGGAGGGCTTGCAGAAGTGTAGAGTACAGGGCTGCAGATGGCCGTGCAGGGGTGTGGAAAGTCTTACACTCGGTTTCCTGCCAGGTGACTACAGCTATTCACCTGTCACAGGCTCTGGGGACACTCCAGGGCTGCCCTGACCCACATGTGGCTTGAACCCACCTGCCACTCTCCCCGGGGCCCCTGTCTGAGCTGCCCCACTGCGGTGTAGACACCAGGGCCTGCTGCTCCTTGTAGGGTGGGAGATGCTTCCTGGGTCCAGAGCAAGGAAGGGGGCCCCACACGGGTGCCAGTCACAGCTAGGCGAGGGGCTGCAGTGGGGTTCCGGCTCCCCTCCGCTCCTCGCACCCCTCTTAGAGGCTGAGTTTAATCCTCCCGGATTTTGGAGCCTGAACCCAGAAACACGTCCTCGGCGGGAAGAGGGTCTGTGTGGGAGGTGGTGGAAGGACAGCAGACCAAGAGGGCCCTCCCTTGGCCCAGGCGCTCACCATGGTTGCTGCTGTCGTCCACCAGGATGACCTCCTTGAGCAGCTGCGGGGGCGTGTGGTTGACCACACTGTGCACGGAGCGCAGGACCACTGACAGAGCCTCATTGACGAAGATGAAGACCACAGACACCTGTGGCAGCGCCTGTGGGTAGCTCATCTGTCGGCACCTGCAGGGGCATCGTGAGGTCTCAGGAGGGCTCCAGATCACAGTGCTCAGGGTGAGCACCAGCGGTGGCAAGAGGTGGCCAACTATCTGAGATGCCTCTTTGGGGGCAGTGGGATCACCAGCTCCAAGGCCACAGCACCCATATGGGGCAGCCTCTGCCACTAGACCTGTTCTTCCCCTTCACCTGCACCAGGTGACCCATCTCCAAGTCAGCCTGAGACCCTGGGCTGGCATCTGGACACATCTACAGACTCACGTTCCCCAGGACCATGATACCATCCTGTGCCTGGAGAAAGAAGGTCTTAAAGAGTCCCTGGAATTCTCAGAAGCCAAGAGGCACAGCTGCCTAGAAGTAAACCAGTGACCAATCCTGATGGTGATCAATACTAACAACCACGGGAGTGATAATCGACCCTGAGGGTGATCGATACTAACAACCACGGGAGTGATAATCGACCCTGAGGGTGATCGATACTAACAACCACGGGAGTGATAACTGATCCTGAGGGTGACCAATACTAATAACCATCAATAATAATTACCAATCCTAGTGGTGATCAATATCCAACAACTGCTAACATTACAATTATGAATTGAACAGTAATAGTGACAAATGGTAACAAATATTAATAACAACAGATATTGTTGTTATTATCCTCATGATGGTATCCTCATCGGCCACCCTCTAGAACTCACGGCTGCTTCTCCCGGAAGGGAGCATAAAATGAGGCACCCATAACCATGCCACCGAACTTATGCGCCAGGCTGTTTTCACTTGGGGCGCCCCAGAGGGGGGGTGGGTGAGAGCCCTCCCCGCCCCAAGGGACCCAGCCCTGGCAGCCGACCTCCACAGCTCAACAGCCACCATGCTCCAGGCCACTTTCCACACGCTCAGGCCAAGCCTCACACATAAGTGAACATATTCCTGGACACATCATAAGACACACCCTACCCATTTTTCATAATTACCACACCATATTTGATGCAGTTCAGACAGTAGGCAACAAATCATAGCACTGCACTGCACTATCTATCCTGTTGTTCATCGATTAGCTCGAGCGGGCCCAGTAACATCTCCATTGTGATACTTGTTACTGTATTTGGCATATCGCATACGTAACGGGTAGCTTGCCAGGCTTTGCCATGCGGGCGAGATACTCTCGGTAGCTTGCCAGGCTCTCTAAGAGGGGTGGAGGAATTGAACCCGGGTCTGCCAGGTTGGCCATGTGCAAGGCAAACGCCCTACCTGCTGGGTTATCGCTCCAGCCCTAAGAGGGAAATACATATATTTGCTTCTTGGAGAGCCCGGTAAGCTACCGAGAGTATCCCGCCCGCACGGCAGAGCTGGCAAGCTATCCGTGGCATATTTGGTATGCCAAAAACAATAAAAATAATGGGTCTCATTCCCCTGACCCTGAAAGAGCGTCCAATACAGCAGCATTGGTAAATTCAAGTAAGGAGAGGCTGCTAAAATCTCAGGGCTGGGATGAATGAAGACATTACTGGCGCCTGCTCGAGTAAATCGATGAACAATGGGATGCCAGTGATATAGTGAATAACAACTGAAAATGATGATTAAACTGATGATAATCTTTACTCTGACCAGTAAAGTCATTAAGCAATCATAATGACCAGTACTGCCCATGGCTGATAAGACATGAGCAACCCCAAAGCCCCGCTCCTCACAGCACCCCAACAAGAAGCCAACATCCTTGTTGGATGGACCAGAAGCCCGAGCCCAGGGGGCTGCAGGAGAAACCTCTATTGACACAGGCTGCTGGTATTCACTGGACCATTTCATTGATGAGAAAAGTGCTTTCTTATAAGACTTCATTTCTGTAGAGAAAAAACTGGAATGCACAATATTCGTGAACTTGCAAATTGTGTAAAACAGAAAATAAAATGTTTCAAAAAAGGAAACACACTTAGGAAACACTTCAGGGTAATGGTAGTAAAGGAATAATTTCAGGAAGAGGCCCCAAGAAACCTGTGTGTGGGTTCTACAGCCCTCAGTTGGTATGTGGTCCTTAAGTCACTCCCATTGGACAGATTCATCCAGTCACCAGAGCACCTGAGAACTATGGTGTCACCTCATGCCTGAGGCCCTGGAGTCACCTCACGCCTGAGGCTCATGGGGTCACCTCACACCTGAGGCCCATGGAATCACCTCATACCTGCTGCCCTTGAAGTTACCTCACGCCTGAGGCCCATGGAGTCACCTCACACCTGCTGCCCATGGAGTTACCTCACACCTGAGGCCCACAGAGTCACTTCACACTCTCTGTCCAAGGAGTCAACAGCCTGCCTTGAGGCTCAGACTGCATCTTGGAAGGAGCCCAACATTTCATGCTCACGGATGCTTGGTGCCTCTGGTGGAGATTGGCAGCACCTCCATGCTTCTGAGCGCTCCCCCTCATTACTCTCCTGCTTCGTCTGAATCTGCCAGACCTTGGCTAAAATGTGGGATACCCTGCCAGCAGCCATGGTTTTGGGGGCCCATTCACCAATCTGATCAACCTGTCCCACCTGTGGCCACATACGGGTTCCCTCAGGGGTGCGGGTATGCTGTGCCATCAGCCGGGTCAACACCATCCCATCGCAGCTGAGCTGTGTGCACTTGGTGACAACCCCTTGAAGCTGTGCTGAGTGGAAGGGCCAGGTTGCCAGAGAGAGTCACTTCCACGGTCAGGGAGACATGGTCACAGGAGTGACTCTGTGGGAATGGTGGGGCGGCTGGGCTGCCACAGGACAGAGAAGGCAGAGCTGACTCCTATGGGGCCAGGAGGGAGGACACCGGCTCCCTGCCTGATTTCGGTGGTGGCTCCAGCCCATGACATGCTAAGGGATAGTGGGGGAGAGGAGCCCAGGCGGGGAACCTGCTCCAAGGACACCCGTACCCATAGCCTGTCCCAAAAACAAAGCCTCCTCAGAGTCCCCTTCTCCCTCTCAGCGCTGACCGCACCATTCACTCACGGAATACAGCGAGTGCATCATATGCTGAACAAGGCGCCTCACGGCACCTCCCCACACAGACCCCCTGAAGATGACAGAGGGACCCCACGGGGCTGGAACTGGGCTCCTGGCACTCACCCCACACTGAATCTACAGACATTGGTGCTGAGAGCCAGGAAGCCCCAACAATTACTATGCATGAAAACCCACAAGCATGTAACAGGGGATATTGCTTTACTGGAATGGAGAATGGGGTCTCCGAGAAGCCCATCCATCTTTATGATTCTGTATAACTTGGATTTACCCATCTTCCATTCATTATCCCCTGGGCAAGTCTTAATAACCAGGATCTGTGTTATGTGCTTTGTGGCATAATTAAAGCCACTGGTTAATCAGAAAAGTCATCTACCCAGACAAAGGGAAATCAATAATGGATGTAATGGGAGACAGGCAGCGTGAACTCTGGTTACAGCGGACAGAGACTGAATGGGATGGGAACATTTGCACACACACACACGCACACCGCCCCATAGACCTGCACACATGCGCATATAGACTCATGCATGCACACATGTGCATTCATGTGATCGCAGGTACACACAAGCACATTAGGCATAAATACATGAGTGTACTGGCACATGTGTGCACTCACATAGACGTACATATCTGTGCATGTGCTAGCACACATGAGCGTGTTGGCAGATATATATGCACCTAAGCACACGTCTGCCATCTCACACATATGCAGTGTGCTCACAGCTGTGCACACGTATGCCCATGCCTGTGTGTACACCACATGCAAATAAGCACACATACATGTGAGCATGTGGGTGCAGACATGAATAGGCACTCTCTGCCTCACACCTATGTGGGCACATGTTTGCCCAGGTGCAGACACAGCTGCCAGGTGCCCTTACCCACACGTGTGTGTTCCTACATCCACATGTGTCTCTAAGCAACCATGGGGGGTGGGGGGAAAACCTGGAAGTTTCAAATGGGTGGGGCCCAGGCTCACTTTTCCATTTAGATTCCTGAGTTGCCTAAGTGGGTGTGGCTGCATGGAGTCCCTGCTGTTTGGGGGATGACGAAAACTCACATTGCAAACCCACAGGAGCACCCAGCTCCAAACCCTTCCAGTTTGTTTTGGTTTTGGTTTTTTGCTTTTTTGGGTCACAGCTGGCGATGCTCAGGGGTTACTCCTGGCTCAACACCCAGGACTCACTCCTGGCGGTGCTCAGGGGACCATATGGGATGCTGGGAATCGAACCTGGGTTGGCCACATGCAAGGCAAACACCCTACCCACTGTGCTATCGCTCCAGCCCCCAAGGCCCTTCCAGTTTGTTCTGGTGTCTGATCAGCTGCCAGCACAGCTCATCACCTTCGCTGGTTTCCTCAGGCACCAGGGGCCTCAGGGGTTGTCTGGGTCAGTGGCACAGAGAATGAGTAGGGGGCTGGTACTGCCACCCAAAGAGAGACTGTAAGGGAGGGCTACAGCCCACCAGGGGCCAGCTTATGGGTGCACAGGTGTCCAGCAAGGCCACACACAGCGAGCGGCCGCTGAGATTTGGTGAAGCTGTCCAGGCTGTAAGCTTTGCAGGCTGCCCAAGGCTCAGTGTGTCACTGTGTCCTTGGTGCTGCCAGTAGCATCAGCAAGACAGCTCCCTCCTCTCCCTCTCTTGAGGGGCTGAGCACCTGTTAGACCCCTGTGTCATAGATGTGAGACATGGTGCAGGTGTAATGGAATGCAGGTGTGATGGTGCGGGTGTGACAGTGCAGGTATGACTATAGGTGTGATGGTGAGGGAGTGATATAATATAGTGGTAGAGGTATAACAGGTGTGACAGTGCAGGTATGTGAAGGTGCAGGTGTGAAGGTACAAGTGTGATGGTGTAGGTGTGACGATGCAGGTGTGACAGTGCACGTGTGATGTGCAAGCGTGATGGTTCAGGTGTGACAGTGCAGGTGGGACAGTGCAGTGTGACGGTGCAGGTGGGATGGTGTAGGTGTGACAGTGTAGGTGTGATGGTGCAGGTGTAGTGATGTAGGTGGGATGGTCCAGGAGTGACAATGAAGGTGTGATGGTGTAGGTGTGATGATGTAGATGTGATGGTACAGGTGTGACGGTGTAGCTGTGATGGTGCAGATATGGCAGTGCAGGTGGCATGGTGCAGGTGTGACAGTGCAGGTGTGACGTGCAGGTATGATGGTGCAGGTATGGAAGTGCAGGTGTGATAGTGCAGGTGTGACAGTGCAGTGTGACAGTGCAGGTGGGACGGTGCAGGTGTGATGGTGCAGGTGTGACGGTGCAGGTATGGCAGTGCAGGTGTGACGGTGCAGGTGTGGTGGTGCAGGTGTGATGGTGCAGGTGTGGCGGTGCAGGTGTGGCGGTGCAGGTGGGATGGGGTGTAATTTGGGTGTGACGGCATACAGGAGTGACACGGAGGTGTGCCCAGGTCACACAGCTACAGACTGTCTCACCGTTTGGGCCTGTAATCGGGAATGGTGCGGTCCAGGGAGATGCGGTCGCTGAGCTGTGCATTGTAGCCATACTCCTCGTACTTGCTCTCTGTCTCCGGGCTGTCCTCATGCAGCGTGGCTGCCACACCACCCTGGCCCAAGCCTCCTGGACCCTCCACCAGGCCGATGGGCTTGGCGAGGCCTGGCAGGACAAGGAAAGATGGTGAGGGGCCCTGTACCATGTGTCCTGGCTACCCTAGACCCTTCCCACCCTCCTGCTCTGCAGTTTCTCACCGAGACCCTGGAGCCTGCAGCGAGGCCAGACTGCGGCATACGGAGGCTACATGCCACATCCAGGGACTCCGACACACAGGGGCCAGGTGAGAGTCTGCGTGAGCCTTGTCTGAGTGACAACTAACCCCGCATCCCAGGTGACGACTGACCCCGTGCCCGTGTGGCGACCAATCTCACATCCTGGTGATGACCGATCTCATATCTCAGGTGACAACTTGCCCCACATCCCAAGTGACAACTAACCCCATATCCTGGGTGACAACCAACATGTCCCAGGTGACAATGGACCCTGTATCCCAGGTGATGACCAACCCTGTGTTCTGGGTAACAAATGAGCCTCTATCCATGTGATAATTGAGCATGTGTCCTGAATGACAACTGATAAGACAGAGCTAGCAACATTTTCAAGGGGAAACTGTCAAATAAATGGGATCTGACCCTGTGTCTCAGGTGATGACCAACACTGTCCTGGGTAACAACTAAGCCTGTGTCCGGGGGACAGCAGCCCTGTGTCCAGGTGACAACTGAGCCTGTGCTAGCATTGACTCTCTGAGCCCATAAGAACCCATGTCTCTGGCTGTTTGAGTCTCATCTGCAGCCTCAATGCCATCCGGTGCCCTGGGTGACATCAAGGGTTCACTTGAAAATACGAGACAACTGGACCCATCACTTTGCTCTGATCTCTGCTGCTGTGTCCCCCCATGCTGGTAGACCCTGGTGTGGATTAAGGCACAGAACCCCAGACACGCTCTGTTGAATGAGTCTAATGATCTCATCCTCTTTCAGAAAGAATAGCCTCTCACGGTTGAGTGCAGTTCCTTTTCATTGTCTTAGTCCAGACTTTCTCAAGTTTATAACAGCTCCTCCCCGCCCCAGTTTGACCCATTTCAGGGAGAGTTCTGTTAAATTCTTTGTTAACTCTCTCCATACTTGTGTTCTGTTTCCTGGGCACTTAGCATCTTTCACTCCCCTCCAAGGTCTTCGTCTAAAACCTCCCTTTCATGGGGCTGGAGAAATAGCACAGCGGGTAGAGCGTTTGCCTTGCATGCAGCCGACCCTGGTTCAATTCCCAGCATCCCATATGGTCCCCTGAGCACCGCCAGGAGTAACTCCTGAGTGCAGAGCCAGGAGTAACCCCTGTGCATCGCTGGATCTGACCCCAAAAAGAAAAATAAATAAATAAAACCCCCCTTTCAGGCTGCCTTTCTGGGGCACCATTTACCCGTCGGTTCTTCTCACCCCTTTTCACTTGAGCATATGTGAGGGTTCCTGTTCCCTCCCGCGTGCTCTGGCTGATCAGCCTAGGACAGGCTCAGCCAGGGACAGGTGCCCTGCTTAGGAGGACCCTGCCTTCACCCTGGACGCCCTTTCTCTGTGCTGAGTCCTGCCAAGCTTTCTTCTTTCGACTGCTCCCTCACAGCCCTGCGTAAGCATTGTGTTTCTGCTGTTCAGGTGGTTTCTCTTAGCACCCATGTCGAGCACCGCTTTGGTCAAGTGACCCAACTGTTTCCTCTGAGCCCTGCAGAGACCAGGGGCTCTTCCAGCCCACCTTGCTGTGTCCTTGGACAAACTTGGCCCCTGCTGGGCCATGACACAGCAAGCTTATCTCCAGGCTGCTTTGTGCAGGGGCTGCCACACTCACAGTCACACCCACACCCACACTCACCACTCTCTTATTTACACCCACACTCACACTAACTACACTCATCCTCACCCACACTCACACTCATTCTCATATTTACACCCATATTCATACCCACATCCACACTCATACCCATACTCACACTCACACCCCCACTCACACTCACACCTCACCCCCACTCATACTCACACCCACACTCACACTCATGCCCGCACTCTCACACCAGCATTCACACCCCTTCTCACACCCACACCCCCACTCACACACCCCCACTCACACTCACACCCACACTCACATATTCACATCCCCACTCACACCCACACTCATATTCATACCCTTACTCACATCCCCGCTCATACTCACACCCACATCCCCACTCACACCGACACTCACACCTGCACTCACACTCACACCCTCACTCTCACACCCGCGCTCACACCACACTCACACCCACACTCACACACATACTCACACAGCCTACTCATACACACTTGCACACTCACACTCACGCTCTTCCACACACCTGCTGCCCCCAGGCCCCTACACCTACCTCCTGAAGTCTAGGGTTCCTTTCTGACATTCACCCACAAAGTAGGAACTTCCGGCACAAACTCACTTGCAGGCTCTGAATTCTCCCCCCTAGGGAAGAAGCAGGGGTGCAGGTTAGAGATAGGGGCACCCAGGTGGGATCGGGCTGGGGCAGCAGACGTGGTTACCAGCAGATTTCCTGAGGCCAGCAAGCTTCTGCCCAGTACAGCGCTTCCCAGGGCTGCTTGCCTTCCTGCTTGCCGTGTGGGCGGCCGTGATTCTTCCACTCAGAGGGAAGTGTGGCTTTCACACTCCCAGCTTCTCTCGAGCCCTGGCTTCCATCTGTCACAGCCACTTCCACCAAGATTCTGGCGGAAACAGCCCAAGCTGAGGGGCTGTGAATCACGGATGGTCTTAGAGGGAGACGGGAAAGGCAGAAGCGCAGAGGTAGCTGTCCAGACCAGCTTCTGTGTGAGTGCCCAGACCCTCCACCATGGACGCACAGGTGCCCCACGCAGCTCACCACCCATGCGGATCCTGGCAAGCCTGGAAATCGGTGTACCTGGAATTTTCATAGGTTTGGCATCTCTGAAGAGATTAGTTGTGAAGCAATGAAATCGTATCATGGGGTGGGTGCCACTAGCGGGCTTCAGCAGAGCAGGGACTCTGCCCACCCTCTCCTGAGGGCGCTCCAAGGTTGTCAGCCAGAAGACATGCACTCATGAATTTTCACAGCTTGATTTGCCTCTCTGTTCTGAGATTTAATTCAGAGTCTGTAAGGCTGGGCTGATGGATGAGCTTACGTGGCTTCGGCTGTGGGATGTGGGTATGGCTTCTGAAGCTTCCAGAAATGCGGCGGGGTGATGGGCAATGGAAGCTGGCCTCCCCAGCTCCGAGAAGACACAAGAGTTCTCAACCCAAGCAGAATGGATCACGAAACACAGTCACTTCTATTTCCAAAAGGCCACAAACATTTGACAGTATGACAGAAGTGGGGCTGGAGTGATAGTACAGCAGGTAGGGCTTGGCCTTGCACGCAGCCAACCCAGGTTCAATTCTTGGCACCCTGTGTGGTCCCCCAGGAACTGCCAGGAGTAGTTCTTGAATGCAGAGCTAGAACTATCCCCTAATCATTGCTGAGTGTGACCCAGAAATAAGCCCAAAAATGACAGGAACTTATTATTTGAAGGACCAGAGATTGGCACAGACTTGAGAGTTTCTGAAATTGTGTCCGTGACTTTCAGAAAGAGGTCACAGGCCAGTGCCTGGGTGTGGGCACTCAATCTCAAGTGGGTCCTGACTGGCCCGTGGCCCACACCCCTGCACCCATGGTGCCACCTGCAGTCTGTCCACCTGAGTGATGTGGACACTGGGGCAGTGCTCAGGATGATGGAGAGCGGCAGAGACAGCCCCAGGGGATGCTGTGCTCATGGCGAGTCCTCTGACCATACTCCATCGCCTTGCCTTGTGTTCCATTCACAGAGGGGCTCCCCCAGGCCCTGTCCAGGCTACCACCTTGGCCCTGCATGTGTGCCGGTGAGGAGGGCAGAGCACAGAGCAGAGCAGCCCTGATGCCACTGTTTGCTCCACCCTGTTAAAACCTACTCTGAGTCAGCATGCCTAGAGAGTCATTCTGCTGACCCCAACGTGGAGCTAAAGTGAGAGTCCAGTGTCCCTCTGTGCCAGCCTCACTCAGCCACACTCCAAATACAATGGCTAATTCCATTACTGACAAATCTTTGAAGACTCTCCAAGGACCCAGAAGGAGATCATACTGCCAACAGCACAAGGACTCACTCCCAAAACACTGTGGTCGTGAATATTCTACAGGACATAGAAATACTCTGAAGTATTTTCTCACTGAGACTAATATAGGTTTGGTGAATTTCCACATATCATAGATGTGCTCAATTGATATAAGTATTTATAGTATCAAAGGACAGGAAATAATAAACTACTAGAAAAAGCAGGTAGAATGGATTTCCAGCTTTCTCTTTGTAAAGTATGCAAGGGCATGGATGGCATAAAGTCTCTCCTCTCTGGGGTAAAAATGCCAACTTGCCAACTTGTGGACAGTTGGCTTCACTACTACTATCTACCCATCTAACCATCTATCTACCATCCATTCACCCATCAATCCATCCACCTACCCATCCACCCACCTAACCATTCATTCATTCACCCAACCACCCACCCTCCCATCCATCCATCCATCCATCATCCATCCATCCACTCATCCATCCATCCACCCACCCATCCACCCACCTATCCATCCATCCACCCATCCACCCACCCACTCATCCATCCATCCACCCATCCATCCATCCACTCATCCATCCATCCACCCACCCATCCACCCACCTATCCATCCATCCACCCACCCATCCATCCATCCACCCACCCATCCATCCATCCACCCACCCATCCATCCATCCATTCATCCATCCATCCACCCACCCACCCATTCATCCATCTATCCATTCATCCATCCATCCATCTATCCATTCATCCATCCATCCACCCACCCATCCATCTATCCATTCATCCATCCATCAACCCACCCATCCATCCATTCATCCATCCATCCATTCATCCATCATTTCGTCCACCAACCCATCCACCCATCTGTGCACCCATCCATCCACCCATTCATCCATCTGTCCACCCATCCATCCATTCATCAACCACCAGTCATCCATTCATTATCTACTCCCCCAGCTACTTGTTGATCCATCCACCCATCCATTTGTTCACCATCCACCCACCCATCTTACAAACACATGTCTGTCAGTAATCTATGATGTGTCAGACTGTCCATCTGTCCATCCCAACATTTTCCTTTGCCTTTGCTCACATTTCTGTGGCTCAATTTTGTTTGGGGAATTCTGCTAAGCACCTTGCACCAAAAATAATTTATTCTTTGCTTTTTGGGTCATATCCTGTGATGCTCAGGGGTCACTCCTGGCTCTACACTCAGCAATTACTCCTGATGGTGCTCAGGGATCTCTATGGGATTCTGGGGATCAAACACTGGTCAACCCACATACAAGGAAAATTCCCTACCCACTGTACTATCATTCCTGCCCTCACACAATTTTTTTGTCTAATGTTCTGAAAACTATATCATGGGATGATGGTCATCCCTCCCATTTCACAGATGTAAACACAGAGGCTTGGGGGGGGATGCCAGTAGGGATTTGGAACCAGCATTTGCCCAACTCCAACACCACCACTTCCAGAAAGCCTTCCCGCTAGTCTGCCCTGACTCAGTGCTCTGTGCTGTGCTGGAGCTTTTGTCACTGAGACCCCACTCATTCGAGAATGGTCGTGTGTGTCCTGCCTTCCTCCTGCTCTGAGTCTGCACAGTCTCCTGGCTTGGCCTTGTGAGCCACCTGGGAAAGGGAGTGACCCGTCTCCCCATTTCTCCCACATCTCACGGCCACAGGAGGGAGGGACCTGTGTCCTGGCAGGGCTCTGGGGACTGCTCCAGCAGGTCAGGCAGGCTGACCTGCAGGCAGAGCTCAGTGATCATTCCAGCAGCTCCTGTGGATGTGGATCCTGGCTCAGGCTTCTCACGAGTCACACAATAGTCCCAAGAACAAGAGCCTTGCTCCATGTCCCCAGTGAAGAACTAGAAGGGTACCTCCTGGTGAGAGGCTTCAAAGCGTCAGGCATGTGGTGAGGCTGGACGCCCAGCCACACGGAAGGCCACAGCCTCTGGTAAGCCCCTTCAGAGGCCCAGGCAGCGGGTCTCTAATCTGCCAACGGCCTTTTGGTACCAACGGACAAGAAGCCGCACTTGGAGAAGCCTCCCCAGCATGAGCTGAGCCCCGGGCACCGCAGTGCTCTGAGAGGGATGGACCAAGCCAGGCCAGGCTGCCTCCCATCAGAAATGTCTCCTGTGGGACGTGGCTATGGAAATATGGGCCGACTTATTTTCCTCGCGTTTCCGGCCAAGGAAGGATAAACTGTCCTTTCAGAAAACAGTGCTGAGCCTTTCAAATATGCAGATTGCTGAGCTGAATGGTAAATGCAATCACTTAAGCCGGCACACCCCCAGCAGCGATCACCGCCACATGAATTATTCCTCCAAGTGCCCGGGTCTGTGCCCCACATCCCCCAGCAGGGGGGCCATGGGATCTCAGGAGGGGCGTCGATGGGCAGAGCTCACTGTCCCAGCTGCACAGAGGTGACCTGGTCCGGATGGCAGCCACAGCTGTCCTGATTCCCAAGCCGCAGACTCAGCCACAGCCCCAGAGATTGGGGAGAGAGGAACGACGCCAGCCCCCGGCTCTTGCCTTCTCTGAGCGATGAAGGGCCACCACAGGCTGTCCGTTACAGAGGCCGGGGCAGGGGGCAGGAAGGTGGTGCCGGGCCAGCTGCCTGTGGAACACAGGGCCTGGACATCCAAGGCCCTCACCTCTTTCCTGTCACGCAGTCTATTGGCACCATGGGGATCTGTGAATGGCACAGGGCCAGAGGCCAGCTGGTCAGAGGTCTGGGCAACTGGATCCCGTCACTGCCTCCATGTCCAGCTGCAGGTTCAGTTGTCTGACAAATGGTGGTGATTCAATTCTCTGGCCACGTGCCTTTAACTGCTGGGACCAGCAATGCTGAGGCTTGTAGCTCAGAGCAGGTCCAGGAGGACGAAGATGGGTGAGCTTGAGCCGGACAGTGGGTAGCATCTCTGGAATTAAAACTCAGGCACACAGAAGAGGCTCTCTGCTGTCAAGTTCTTTCCCGCATGTGGAAGACCTCCCAGCACTGAGCAGGAGCTGCCCCTCCCCTGTGGGAGATGGGCCTGGAGGCAACAGGGGAGTTAGGGAAGTTCTAACTGTTGAGTCACACCCTGCCTGCCCTTTCCTGCAGGCCTTGAGCTCCGGCAGCCCTTCCACACTTCTCCCAGTGCCTCCTTCACCCTCTTCAGGTTGCTGCTCTACCACAGACCGCAGAGACCGGAAGTGGGGTCAGAATCCTGGGAGGGCAAGCACAGACGGACGAGATTCCTGCAACAGTGACTGTCTGATGCCCTGAGCCCTGGAAATCTGGCTGGACCACCCGAAGGCCCTTCGGGGGCAGGCTGGGGTCCTGCAGGCTCCCACTGGCTCGCTGGATACCCCTGCCCTAAGCACATCCTGACCTGCACCCAGCTCTTAACGGGCTTTCTCTGAAGTCAGAACCATGAACTGTCTAGCAGAGAACTGTGGAGCTGACTGGAGCCTGGCCCTGGAGCTGAGCACAGAACAGGGTTTATCTCCATTGACACATGGGTGACGCACAAAATCCATGTGCACAGCTGGTGCCACGGAGAGCCAGTTGGGTGGGGACCGTCCCCTAACAGCCCACAGCCACAACTCGGGTGTGTCCTACCAGCAATCACTACAGGACAGACAGTCTGGTACAAAAGTTGCTTCTATAGCCCCCATCCCCTCACTGATGCCCATGGCAGGCTGACCATACTGCCCCTGGCACACCCCTCAGAAGACAGCACGGTGCTCAAATAAGCTCCTCAAGCCCACTGTCCCACCCGGTTCATAGTCACACTCCTGAGGGCTTGTGGAAAGGTGCTCAGAGTCTTGGGGGTGGCTGCATCTGTCTCCTGTTGTGAGACACAGCCAGTCATCACACAGAGCTCTCACCAGGAAGGTGGGTGGCAGCCCTGTCACCTGGGACTGGCAGAGTGCTCGAGGACCCCCGCTGCTTAGCTGACCCTTCTCACCGGATACAAAGGTTCTCTGCTCAGCGGATGCGAGTCAGAGGCACCCCAGAACCCAGTGCAGCGTGCTGAGGGCTGCGTATCCAGAGACCAGCGACTGTCCCCACAAGCTCATCTCGGACAGTTGTGCTGAGGTGAGGCATGGCCAGGCATGCAGGCTGTCCTTAGAGGACACTTTCTCCTGAGCTTACAGGGAAAACCACATGGCAGCTTGTGAGGTCAACAGGGTCCCCAGGGAGGAAATCGGTCATGGAGCTGTGCTGCCCCCACCAGCCCAGCTCTCCAGGACACCCCCAGGCTCCTGCACACTAGGACACAGTCAGGGCAGAGAAACTTGAGTCATGGAGCAGTTTGCTTTCTGGGGAAGGTTCACAATTCCTGCTGCTGGATAAGATGCATCCACTGGGAGCTGAAGCCTGCAGGTAGCTCCTGGGGTGCTCCTCGGAGCTTCTCTAGCCTGGGGACCCCCCAGCCTCTCGGAGCCACCACTACTGCCCCCTCAGCGCCCCCACCCACCCTGAGCAGGTGTGACCTCTGCTTCCGCTCCCGCTCCTGGGGGTGGTCTTGTCATTCTCAGCAGCAAATCCTGAGAGATTCCCAGGTCAGACCTGGGCTAGGCATGGGCTCCCCGAGAGGGAGGTCACAGCCTCTCCCAAGGAGGGGAGGACACAGACAAAGGACCAGAAAGATGTGGGCAGGGTGTGGGGACAGGAGCGGAAGGTGAGGAAAATGCCAGGGAGCAAAGAGCAGAGGGAAGAGGAGCAGGAGGCAGAGAAGGAGTCTGCGGTGGATGTGGTGGGGGGGGTCTTTCCACGCTCCTGATGCCCTTACTGTCCCGTGGGCAGTGAGGAGGAGACAGGCGCTGGACCTGAGCTGCTGTCACATGACGTTCCCCCCAACCCTACCAAGCACTGCCAATGTTTTATATAACCCCCAGCTCCCCAGAACAGACCGAGACTCACACCACAGCACCCTGTGGGGACGCGTCCTGTTCCGGAGAGCCTCGGCCCATGGGGCAGGCAGCATCTGGACAGGACTTCCCCCAAGGCCTCAGACAAAGGGAGGCCAGGGTCTGCAGCTTCTCGGGCACAGTCCTGGGACACAGGGTCTCCTTGCCATGGCATCTCCTCACCCACGCAGTGCCCTCCTGAGGACACCTCAGCACCCCTTGGAGACTATTCCCAACACCTACTGGGAGCTTATGGGAGAAGCCAAGGAAGGGACGTGCGTCCTCTTGTGTGTCAGGTCAGCCCCGCAGGCCGCCCAGGAAGCAGGAGCCCCCTGCCAGGGCTGGGTTCTTTGTGGCAGTTCCCAGCCCTGGGCTCAGCCCACCCACTGCCCAGAGAGCCTCAGCTACTGACCAGAGGGGATGCCCAGTCAGGGGTGACGGCCACAGCAGCTGTCCCCTGGGGGCCACTGCTGGGACGACCCCCTCCACTGGCAGGGGCTCCGTCAGGGACAAGCGGGGGTCACTGGTGATGCCCAGTGCCCAGCAAGGAGTGAGTGGTGACATCCAGGCGGGCGAGTCCTCCGCATCCCCCCAGCCCCGTTTCCCGACCGGCCTCGGAGGACGGGGGGCTCCCGAGCCGCGGGAGGAGAGGCTGCCGACCCCGCCCGCTCACCGTTCAGCTGGTTGTACACCACGTCCTCCAGGTGGTCTAGGCGCTGCAGGATGGCCTCGTGGTCGCGGGCCGCGCGCGCCCCGCCCGGCCGGCCGCGCCCCCCGCGCTCCGGCGGCCCCTCGGAACGGCCCTGCAGGCGGCAGTACGCGGAGAAGAGGACGATGCCCACGAACACCAGGATGTTGACGGTCAGCAAAGTTTTGACCCTCCTGGCCACGGCCATGAAGGCGATGGGGGCGGGGCGCTCACCCGCGGGCCATGCCGCGGGCCGGGGCGCGGCCGGCCGGGCGGGGCGCGCGGCGCCGGGAGCTGTCCCTTCAGCACCGCGGCCTGGGGCCGGACAGCGGCTCGGCTGCCCGGCGCGGCCGCCCGCCCCGCTACGCGCCGGCGCCGGGCGCAGTGACGCGGCCGCGCATCTGCAGGCACGGGGCCGCCTCGCCGGGACCGCCCTGCCCGCGGAGGCCCGCCCCAAGGACGCCCGCCCTGCCCGCCCTGCCCACCGGGAACGGCCGGGCAGCGGCGGCCGCGGGGCAGGGACAGGCACGCTTCCTGCCAAGTGGGTCCTCGGCCGCTCTGGGCGGGGTCCTGGAAAGCTGAGCCCAAGGACAGGTGGACAGGCCTCATGGCCCGAGGACAGCCACCAGCCAGGGCGCGCCTCCCCCCCCCCCCCCTGCATCGGCCGCCACCCCTGCCCACCTGCTCTGAGCCGGTCCAAGCCCTGATTCACACTCTCACAAAACCACAAAACCACTTCTGCTCCCCGTGGTCAACCGCAAGTCCCACCAAGGGCATGAAAACTCCCAGGAGTGAGGCGTCCCTGTCTCTCGGCCCCGCTGCTGCCCACGCAGTAAGTGACCGAGCAACAGCTAAACCTTGTCCCAAGCTGGTTCTGGGCAGGGACCTCCATGCAAAGAGATGAACAAGACAAGGTCTCCAGACAACATGCCTGTCTGTGTGTATGTGTTCATGTGTATGCCTGTATGCTTGTGCTGTGTCCATGTGTGCCCCTGTACATGTGTGTATGAGTTTGTGTATGCATATGCACATGTCCGTGTGTGCACATGTGTGTTTGCACGTGTGCCTGTGTATGTGTGCACATGTATTGCATGCCTGTTTGTCTGTGCATGTAGAGTCTGCCAACTCTGAATTCCTTCCTCTCAGACCCTGACCCCAAACATACCAGCCTTTGCAGCATGGACGTCACGTGCCCCTTGGTAGCATCTGCTGAGGACTGAGGGACCCGAATCTCTTCACTCTTTTTGTTCTCAGGAATTTCCTCGCCAGGAAGGACCCTGTGATTGGGTCTTGAGAACAGCTGTCCACAGTGTGTTTAGCATATGAATTGCTTGTTCTGAGAAGAGTCTGGAGTTTTCCGCTTTTAATTATTGCTCAGAAGGAGTTCTACAATGCAGCAAGTGTGAGCGCCTGGTCTGCCTTTGATAAATAGCTGTCCCCATGCTCCTTCCCAGGAAATACTGTGTTTCCGTATAAAGTGCCAGCCCAGGGCCTTGCAAACAGCAGCAATTACGCAGTGTGTTTGCCGGACAGTGCTCTAGGTCTCTCCTCAGCTGTTATCTGGTGAGGAGCATCAGAAACCTTCTCACCGAGCCAGCAGGATGATCTCGTTTACCTCAGTTTCTTGTGGAAACTGAGGCCGTGAGAAGCAGAAAGCCTGGCTCAAGGTCACAAGGATGGTAGAGCACGGATCTGGAATGCTAGCCCAGACAATTTGGCTCCAGAATCAAATTTATTTAGCCACTACACTGAAGGGAAAAAATCAGCCACTTTTCAGTACACGTTTATTGAAAGTGATGCTCAAGTGGTTTTGCAGGAGAAAATGTTGTCCTGCTCATGTAAATCCATCATACTGCAGCGAGATAGGTCTGAGCTGTGGGAGGAGAAACAAACCCTCTCATGGCACCCTGGTGGCTAGCACCCCATGTGCCTTCCCCAACAGAGCCCCGGACAGCTGTGGGAGGTGCCAGCAGTGCCCTGTGCTGGTCACCAGGACGGGGTCCTACTGAATCACAGATGGTACCCGGGAAGCCACAACCGTTCAGGAGGGGCCCTGACCAACTGCACAGAGGAGGCTGAAGGGAGACTCAGGAGACCCCCTGCTGGGGGGCACTGGCTCCTCAGTGTTCGTAAGAAGCAGAGAGTAGCCTGCACTCACTTGGACCTCCCCTTGGCACAGAGACCCAGAATTTCTCAAGCCCATCCTGCTTGTCAGTCTGACAGATACCACCTCGGCTCCCTGGCAAGCAAGTCAGGACTAGGGGGTCCAGGTGAATAGCAGGGGGTCCGTGTGCCCACCCTTCCTCCACCTGCCACGGCCCACCCACCCCACCTGCCACGGCCCTCCCGCACCACCTGCCTGGCCCACCCAGCCCCACATGACTGCTTTTCTCTCCTAACCCATAAGCAGAGGAGTGTCTGAGGGTAGAGAGCAGGATGGCGCCTGGTGACTTGCTCTCAACAGCAGCCGTCCACAGTCGGGGTTTTCTTCCTGACCCTCCCACATCCCCAAATTATAGGCCCACAGGCCAACCTGTTGAAGTTTGATGCAGCCACTTACAGAGGATAGAGGGCAAAAAGTGACAGCACTGAATTCTGGTTTAGACTGAATCCATGGAGGAGCTGGGTCCCGGCCTCTGCTCCTCTCCCTATCCGAGAGCCTCTGAGAGCTGCACCGTGGGAACGGCCAATTCCGGAGAGCCTGGAGGGAGGCGATGCGGACAATGAGTGGTTCTGTGTGCACTGGCCTGCTGCTCCAGCTCCTGCCCAGAGAAGAGGGCAGCTCACAGCCCCAGGATCCCAAGTCTGACCTTCAGGCAGCACATATTGATGACTTTCGCATTCATCAGACAGGTGGGGCTCTGTGTGGTGGATTAACCGCGGGTGCCACTCTTGATGCGCCATGTGACAGTGGGTGACCCACAGCCCATTAGCCCTCAGATGATGAGAGCTTACAACACACACGGGAGTAGCAACGGGAGAGTTGGCGTGTGTGGACCCAGAACCACCTATTTCAAGCAGCTAAGAGATCCCAGACTCTATGCAGGAGGGCGGGGAGGACACAGAAAGAGGAAAGAGAGATACTGAGTGTGTGTGTGTGTGTGTGTGTGTGTGTGTGTGTGTGTGTGTGTGCACGCACGCGCGCGCCCTCGCACAGGAGGGCAGGGAGAGACATAGGGACAGAGGGACAGAGAGAGATAGGAACACACATACAGAGAGAGTACGTGTGTGCTTGCAGAAGGATAGGAAGAGACACGGGGGGTGGGGGAGAGTCAGAGAGACTCAAAGAGACAGAAACAGAGAGACAAAGACAGAGAGAGTCAGAAAGTGATGGGGTGGAGTCCTAGGACGCGGAACCCAGGATGTTGTCCCTGCTTGGCAGATGTCGCCACCTCTGACACCCCTCCCTCTCCCATAGTCTCTTTCGCTGTTTCCTTGGTGGAAGGACCCCGGTCGGGCCCTGGAGCACAGCCAGGATGCAGACGGGAGAGCACCGTCACACAGCCTGTGCTACCTTATCATCTGGTCCAGTGGGCAGGAGCAAGCTGTTCCCAGTCACAGCCATTCACTCCTTCTCTGTTCGCCTGGGTCCACAGGGACACAGGCGCCAGCTGCCTCGGGAAACCGAGGGCACCTTACCGCACCCCAGAGCCAGGGGTGCTCTTGCAGGGGACCCCACTCGAGTGCAGGAGGTCTTGATGGAGTCTTGACTCCACGGGGGGTCCGCTGCAGCCACAGTCCCAGTGGCTAGAGCTGAACGTAGGAGCCAGGGGCAGTGCCACTTCCAGTGCCAACACAGAGCCTGTGCTGCTGGGTCAGGATGCAGGGTGGCATCTCCCCAACAGGCTGCTCCGCTCCCCTGGGAGAAGCTCATCAGACCCTGCAGGGGGACCAAACATCGGAACTGAGTGGAGAGTTTCCCTAAGCACTCCAGACAGCGCCAGGCCCGCTTCCGGAAATCAAGCTGCTTTGCTACAGCAGTTCCTCCTGCCCACATGAGCACCTGCACACACACATATACATGTGTGACCATATGTACACCAGCACACACATGCACCTGCATGCACACACATGCATGTGCAACCATGTGCACATCAGCACACATCTGCACCAGGGTCACACAGGACCACACACATGCACCAGTGAACACTTCATATCACTATACACATGCACCTGCATGCACACACATGCCCATGCAGAACATTAGCACATGCATACCACACATGTACCTATATGCACACCAGCACATGCCAGCATACGTGAACATATGAGCAATAGAGCACATAACACACTTGAAGATGCAATCACATGTCAACATATATGAGCATGTATGCACAAGTCAGCACAACAAACGTGGGCACCTATAGCATGCATCATGCATAAACATATAAACACATGTCTGCACACATAAATATCTAAATACATGACAGCACACATGAACACTGAGTAAATCTAGCTTGGACACCTGAACTCACAAAGCACACAGCACACACAAACACGTGAGCACATGTTGGCACATATGAACAAGTGAGCTCATACAGCACCCGCATGAGCACTCAAACATGTACAAAGGAGAGCCACACTTGCACTCACATACATGCACACACACACCACACACATGTGTCGGTTCAAGGCATGTCCCAGATGCCTTTGGCACTGCCTTCTAACCCACTGCCATGTCTTTGCTGCTCTGCGTCAGGGGCCACGGGAAAGGGTCTCCTGAGACAAGGATGACGTGGCAGAGGGGTCCTGTGGACAGAGGTTTGGACATTCCTGGCATGTCCCTCAGGTCTGGTCTCTGGACCTGCAGCTGGGGAGCACAAAAGAGCTCTGGGCCACGCAGGGTGCCTGGGCCTCAGTGGTGCCCTGCGGGGCCGCCTGAGGCTGTTCCTGGACGTGGGTGCCACGGTGGGCGTCACCAGCTGTAAGAGATCACAGATAGGCTCCTCACTGAAGCCTCATTTACAATGATCTGCGCGGCTCCAAGCAGCTCCATCCTCGAGCAGGACTGGGGTTTTGCCAACTCTCACTACTATATAATTTAATCTAATTGATCAATTAAATCCAAATAATTTTTAACCAAGCTGTAATAACAGTTATCTCATTTCAGCGCTACATATAATTTTCTTAACGATTTGATCAAAGGAAATTCCCTTGAGATTCATGTCTTTGGGGGGACTTGGCTTTGCCTTCATGCCAGCCTGGGGAGCTCATCCTCGGCTCTGACCGGCAGAGACAGTCCGGTGCTCTGAGACAGTGCTTCCAAGCCTCTCTGGTCGCTGTTCCTGGCTGCTGAG